AAGCCCTCCTTCTGCCTCCGTCACCCAAGTAGCTGGGGCTACAGGTGCATGCCACTGAACCTGGCAGGAAAGGAATTCTTTTTTTTTTTTAAGAGAGAAAGAGAGAGAATTTTAATATATATATATATATATATATATATATTTTTTTTTTTTTTTTTTTTTTAGTTTTCGGGGACACAACATCTTTGTTTGTATGTGGTGCTGAGGATCAAACCCCGGGCCGCACGCATGCCAGGCGAGCACGCTACCGCTTGAGCCACATCCCCAGCCCAGAAAGGAATTCTTGAAAGCTTGTCAGGGCCCCATTGGTGATCTTACTGATGGTGTGTTTTTCACATAGGAAATGGAGGAAGATGAAGATGATGATTTTTTGAAAGGCGAAGTGCCCCAGAATGATGCTGTGATTGGGATCACACCGAGCTCCCTTGATGCCCATTTCCGAAGTCCTTCTAGTAGCGTGGGCTCCCCTCCTGTGCTGTACATGCCAGGCCAGTCCCCTGTCACCTCAAGGATTTGCGATTGAGCTGCACTGCCTTCCCATGGTGTCCTCTGTGCCCAGGCTTGTCGCAGGGGGTCACCTTGGCTGGAGCACACGCTGCAGTATGGCACTTTGATTCCAGACTTCATTCATCATCTGAACAGAGGTGGCAGATTCTGTTCGCTGTCTTCACAGATGAAAGGAAAAGAATATCATGTGCAATATTTTACAGAGGGGTTAATGATAAACGGTGGAGACTGCTCGTTAGTGTAATGTGTACATTTTTGGGGTACCGCAGCTTTTTGATGTATTTGTTGTGTAATTTTGTATTGGCCACAACCTGTTTTAACCAATAATTTCTTCACTTAAGTTTTTCTGAGGACTGCAGCCACAGGACTTCACTGGCTGCGCTGTTCACTTCCTTGTCATTGTATTGTTGAGTGGGGTCAGAGGAGACAGACAAAAATTGAGCGGTGCCAGAGTTGGGCTGGAATACTGAGTTGAGCTGCCACCACAGGAGATCTCCAGGGACATCGGAGACCCATAATGGCTAGGAGTGGGTTTAGAAAAACAGAATCAGACATCATACTTGTGCAGTGCAGAAATTTGAGAGGAAAATGGAGGTTCAGGTAAGTATACAGTTCATGTTGACTGAAAGTGGCTTTGCCTTTTGTGAAGCACAGCATGGTATTTTACCCTTAGACTCCCCAGCGTCCCTTCTGTAGCAGTTACACTGAGCTAGTTGTGACCAGCATCAGTCGGTTATTTTAGAGCTTTTTTTTTTTGGTCCAAATAGGAAAAAGTTTTTTCAGTGATTTTTTTTTTTTTTTTTTTTTTTTTTTTTTTTTTTAGTGGTTTGCTAGCTAGACTGAGTAGTAGACCGAGGTTACTCCTCTAGAACAGTGCACTTAACCTGTGTTGAGCCTCGGGGAAGCCCTTCCTTAGTAAACCTCTTTTTATATTTTTATAACTAAACCCTGAGAGGGAGTCTAAGACAGCCTTGCCTTGTGACAAACTTGTGCAAGCACCGCCAGGGTTGTTTGAAGCTCAAGTGTATTTTCCCATTGTTCCTTATATGTATATTTCTTTGTGTAATTGTGAAGATGGTCATTTTTAAGCATATTTATTTTTCTGCTACTTCTATTTATTTAAAGGCCAACAATATTTTCTTGATTACAAATGTTTTGTAACGAAATACTTCCTTTTTTCTAGGGCTTTCTATGCTCTTGTATAATTACATTGATAGCAATGTAGAGTTTGAATTTCTGTCTGTAAATATATTTTTAGAGAAGATTTTTATTGCTTTAAAAAGTTTTGGATATTGGTGATTTTCTTTTGGTGACTTGGTGGAAAATCATTTGAGAACCTTAAGGTTCTCTTTTTTTAAACTGCTGACAAGAAGGTGGATTTTTGTATACTGGATAAAATGAGTAAATAAAATTGTATTCACAGAAATTTATGGGAATTGGGGTCCTAGTGGTTTAGGAAGTAGTTATAATCTAGTAGGATATATTTACAGATATAAGTCTTGTTAAATGTCAAAGGGGTTTGAGAAGTCCATTGTGAAAATAAAATAATTACATGGTTAATCTGGAACTTTCATTCTTATGTCAGTAAAGGGGAAGGTACCTTAATAAAAAGACTTCTCACATACGTTTTGATGTCTGTGTACATTTGTTTATAATAACTGATGTGTTAAAACATCTTTTTTTTTTGCACTGAAAAATTGCTCCTGAGACCTCACTTTTTTTTTTTCTTTTTTCTTCTACTGGGGATTGAAGCTAGAGGTGCAGCGACATCCCCAGCCCTGCTGTTACTTGTTTGTTTTTTGAGACAGGGTCTAAGATGTTTAGGGCCTTGCTTAGTTGCTGAGGTTGGAACTGAACTTGCAGTCCTCCTGCTGCAGCCTCCCAAGCCACTGGGATTAAAGGTGTGCACCACTGTGCCCAGCAAGACCTCATATTAAAGAGAAAAATAATTGCCATTATGATTGGGAGTGTTCAGAAATAAATTGCACGTCCTAGTGAGGATGGCTTCCAGGTTCATAAGCATCAGTGGTTCTCTTGGGCACGCACAGCCGAGAGTGACAGGCTTGAGCAGGTTCAATGAAGCACTTTGGCATGTTACATGTAGCTGGTGTGAATGGACTAGTGACTATTAAAAACTGTCATGTTGACCTGACTTCCCTTTCTAACCAGCCATTTGGCTTTAGCAAGTTACCTAGCCTATCTCCAAACTTCATGTTTAATAGGCTCTAAAGTAGGAATAGCTCAAGCCTGGCATGGTGGCTAGTGCCTGTCTTCCCAGCACTTGTGTGTCTGAGATGGTAGGATGAACTCAAGAGCAAATGTCCAGACCAGCCTGGACAACAGAGCAAGATCCTCTAAAAAGAGGAAGGGACTAACTGATGACTGCTTTATGGTTGATGCATGTGAAAGTTAATCATAGGTGTTGTGGCTGTCTCATGAAAAGTATGGCTCTTAACGGAAAGGTCTTTTCAGGGCAAAGATGACTTCCATTTCTTCATGTCACTTCTGTGGTACCAACTTAAAAAAGATCTGAATGGGAGAGGATGGGCCAGAGTCTCCCTTTGCCAGGCATGCTTATAATGGTGGTTCTTAACTCTGCTTAGGCCCTAGTTTGCCCTCCGGAGCTTTGAAAAACTATTAGATTCAGGCAAATCCCACAAAGTATTGGCTGCAATTCCAAAATGCCTCACCTCCCCTGGTCCTGGCAGTGGAACTCAGGATGTCACATATGCTAGGCAAATGCTCTACCACTAAGCTATATTCTGCAGACGCTATCTTATTTTTTAAGATAGTGTCTAAAGTTGCCCAGGCTGCCCTTGAACTTGTGATCCTCCTCCCTGCACCTCCCAACTAGCTGAGATAATAGGTCTGCCACTGGCCTGGCTCAAATGTCTCACTTTTCTTGTCTTCACTTTCCAATTCTGTAGTAAGTTATCACCAAGTTTTAAATTATTTTTTATCTGTATGGTGTTTTTTAATTGGTGCATTATACATTGTACTTAAACATAATGGTGGGATTCGTTACATATTTGTATATGCACATGATATAACAATTTGGTCAATATCACTCCCTTGTATTTCCCCTTTCCCTATACTTTGCAATTCTGATAGTTATTTTCATTTTTTTTCTTTTATTTTTTTTACACTTGACCCCAGAGGTACTAGTCTCCAGTCCTTTTTATGTTTTATTTTGAAACAGGGTCTAAGTTGTTTTGAGCTTTGCCAAATTGCTGAAGTTGGCCTCGAACTTGCAATTCTCCTGCCTCAGCCTCCCGGGATTACACGTGCGCACTACCACACCTGGCTTCTTTATTTACTGCATGCTGGGTAACACTTTATGATTCCTATCCTACAGATGAAGAAGCCAGTTCAAAGAAGTATCTTGCTCAAAGTTACACTGCTGCTATTTAGTTACGTTAGATTCAGATCTTCATTTTAGCCCAAAGCTTTCCACTTGGGGGTTTAATTTTACCTGCATTACAACAATTACAGCAAGCCCTACTATTTAGGACTATATTAAGATGATAGAACTAGCTTTGAAATCACGCAAAGCCGCCTTTAACTTTAGCTCAACCACTTACTATTTGTATGACTTAGGGCTAATGCTATCTGTCAGAAGGCAGGTGTTGATGGTAAATGAGAAATACAGGTGATTCATAGAGAAGTGCTTGTCCGAAAGGGAAAATCGGTTCTGGGTAAAAAGTTGGGTAAGCCGGGGGTGGGGCAGACACCTCCGGGCCGTCTCCTACCCGCATTTCTTTAAGTTTTAGGATCTTCGTTGAAGGGGCTTGGAAACTGAGTGGGAGGTGCTTGAAAGAAAGGGATGCAAAACAGCTGGTGAAATTCTAATGAAGTTCCCGCTCTGCATGAGGCGATTCTGCCCCAACACCTTTCGGAAAGTTAACCTCCCGTTAGTGTAGTTGGATCTCACTGAGTAATGCTCCCAGGTGTTGGAAGAGAGCCCCGCGGAGACACCGCCCCGCAAGGCTGTTCCTGCCCGGGCTCCAAACAGCAAGTGTTGCCCACGGTTTCTGGGCTTGGGGGACCAGTACAGTTCGGGAATCTGTTTTTCTCGGTAAATCGTGCCCTGAATACAGCCCCCAGGAGCTGCACAGCAGGGACTCAAGCTTGCGAAGGTCGCACACCTGAGGAGGGTGGGGCAGGGGAACGAAGCCGGCGGGCTCCAGCAGCTGGCCCCTCTAGGAGCGGGGTGTCAGCGCCGCGCAGCCGCTGCCCTCGCCCCGCCCCCGCGGCCTGGCCCCGCCCCCGGCTCCCACGCTCTCAGAACTTCACTTCCCGGCGCCCCTTGTGGAGGAGGCCGCCGCGCTCGGACTACATTTCCCGTGAGGCCCTGCGGGCCCCTCCGTGGCTCTCTCCGGCTCTCCCTGGTTTCTGCAGGCGACGCCGCGCCCGTCCGGACTCCACCTCCCGGCAGCACCCGCGTCGGGGCAGGGTGGGCGGGTCGCGGCGGTCCGAGGGGCGGGGGCGGCGGCGGCGCCGGGGCTGGGGAGGCCGCCGCCTCCCTGGGCCTGCCCGGGCGGCCGCCTCCGCGATGCCGCTGCTGGTCGACGGGCGGCGAGTGCGGCTGCCGCAGTCCGCCGGGGAGCTGGTCCGAGCCCACCCGTCTCTGGAGGTGAGCGGGGCCCGGCGCGGGGGCTTCGGGGCGGGCCCGAGGGGAGCCGCCGGGCCAGGTGCCCGGCGGGAGGAGCCCTCCTCCGCCCGCCGCCGCCACCGCCACCGCCGTCCCTCTCCTGACACGGAGTTGAAAGTTGGCGCTGCCGGCGCGTTCGGAGTCCGGCCGCCAACGCGGTTTCCTCTTGGGACTCCGCGGAGCTCTTCCTTCTTCAGAGGGCACTGCCCAGGCCCCTCTGTTACAGAGGAAGGGACGGGCCCAGAGAGGTTAGGTGACTGGACCCGGGTCGCACAGCGCCGGGCTTGAGGACACCCCGGGACCCCCGGATCCCAGCAGGGCGTTGCCTCCCCCCAGTGCGGACTTGCTGCTTTTAGGCAAATCTGGGCGCCCGCCCTTGCTCACTGGCTCTCGCAGGGGGTCCCCGCCCTGCGGGGAACCATGCTGCGTCCTTGTGCCCTCGGAAGCAAGGCTGTTGCCGGGTGGGCCGCCGACAGCGCCTGGGCAGAGGTGTCCCGGCGGGTTCCTTCTCCTTTCTCTCCTTGCCCTCCTACCCCCGGATGTGGGGCGCCTGGTTATTTTTAGCCCGAGGAGAGGACCACGCCCTGATGGAAGGGTTTTTGTCTTTGTTTTTCCTGCTTTTGTCCCCGAGTGATTCTCTGAACCCTCAGTCCACGCGCGTGCAGGGACGTTGGGGAGAGTGCACGGTGTGAACCACAGCGGGGACTCGGATCCCGCTAAGGGGGCGTCACCCTGCGGGTTGAGGTGTGGAGCCCCCGCCGGGTGCGGGCGCCGTCCCGACCGCCGGGCGACCTCGGGGTGCCTCCGGGCGAGCGGGGAAATGGGTTTTCATCACAGAAACGGCTCGGAGATCGCAGCGTTAAGTGCCGCGACGAGAAACGGGCGGGCACCGCTCTGGGACGGGAAGCAGAGGACCGAGGCTAGGTTCTAGAGGCTTCCCCGGCTGGACAGTCCGTGGCGTTGGGTTGGCTAACTTGGCCCCCCGGGTCCGTCCCCGCGATGTAAGCTTCCCAAGGTGGAGAGCGAGTGTCCACCTTTGTACCGGGGAGCCCAGGGCAGCCCCTGTCCTAGACTTTGTGCTCAGTAAATATTAGTGACATCGATGAATGAACAGATCGACCCTGAAAACCGTGTGCAGGTGCCAGAGCGAGCGACGGGGACCAGGCGGGCAGCTCGGTGTGCCTCTCAACTTGAATTTCAAGTCGTGATGTTACCAAATTCGTGCTGGGCTAAGCATTGTGCCCTGTCACTTCCTTGTGGGATGTATGACATCAGGAGTAGTACTCAACTCACCGAGGGAAGGAAATTTCAGCCAGCTAAAAAGTTTAGGTGACACTCTACTTTCATGTCTGTTTGAGATGGAAAGTGAGGTTGGTGTCCAGGGCAGCTCAGCGTTGGAGGCATGTGGTGACCTGCCAGGGCTGCGCCTCTCAAGGAAGGTTTTGGCCTATGTAGGGAGACTTGGCCCAGAGAGGCTGCATGGTGGGGACCATGCCTATTACAGAAGCACAGAGGAGGGTGCCACTGGTGGGCAGCAGGGTACCGGCTGTGGGAGCAGACTGGGATGTCTCCCTGGTCCTGGAGAGTGAGTTGGAGCACCCAGGAAATACACCTGGAGAGGCGGGTTGCACCTAGATGACTGAGCTGCTGTGGATCTGTCACCTAGTTAGCAGTGGGAAGATATGAAAGGTTTGATTAATTTTTTCCATAATGAGCAGTATATGCTCTTCATAGGAAATAGAAAGTATAAATATTAAAAAGAAAAATAATTGATCACAGCCATTCTTCATGTTTTGGTGAATATCTTAAGATTTTCCTATTTTTTTTTTTTTTTTTTTTTGCACTGAGAATTGAACCCAGGGCACTTTACCACTGAATTAAATCTCCAGCCCTTTAAATTTTTAAATTTTGAGACAGGGTCTCACCAAGTTGCTTAGAGCCTCACTAAATTTCTGAGGCTGGCCTCAAACTTGCCATCCTTCTGCCAAGTCAGTGGGATTCTGGGAGTGTACCACCACATCTGGCATGTGAAGTGCTTTTCAAAATGATAGCATGGCTGAATGCAGTGGTGCATGCCTATAATTCCAAGCTCCGGAGGCTGAGGCAGGAGGATTGCAAGTTTGAGACCAGTGTCTGTCTCAAAATAAGTAAAAAGAGCCAGGGACGTGAGTCAGTGGTTAAGTGCCACCTTGGGTTCAATCCCTGGTAGCAGGGAGAAAAAAAACAAAAGCAAACTCTGGGTCTTTTTGGTGTGATGGCTAAGTTGTAAGCATGAAGTACCAGCATTTATAGCCTGTGACAAGCACACAGGGCGTCCACCCTCATCTGCGGTTTTGCATCCTGTAGTTTATTACCTGGGTCAACCAGTCTGAAAATATTAAATGGAGAATTACAGAAATAAATAATCCTTAAGTTTTAAATAACTTTTATTGAAGTATATTGTTTGAATTGTTTGCTTTTTGTTCTTAGTTATTAATCTCTTTCCCTGTTTTTGGTATGGGGGATTGAATCCAGGGCACTTAACCACTGAGCCACATCCCCAGGTTTTTTTTACTTTTTGAGACAAGGTCTCAAGAAGTTGCTTAGGGCCTCACTACATTGACTGGCCTTCAGTTTGTGAGCCTCCTGCCTCGGCCTTCCTTTTGACTTGCTGGGATTACAGGCGTGGCCAGCACATCTGGCCTAGCTGTTGTTAATATTACTGTGCCAAATTTATAAATTAAACTCATTATGTGTGTGTATGTATTGGTAAAAATATCTGTAGGGGTTAGTACCGTCCATGGTTCAGGCAGCCACAGGGGATCTGAAACATGCCCCGGAGGGTAAGGGAGGGCTGCTATAACAGCCCACTGTAGTAGCACCAGGGAACTTGCCACGCGCTGCCACTGCCCTGTGAAATAAGTGCAGTTACTATTCTTATTTTACAGATGAGGACCGAGGATCAGGAAAGTTGAGTGACCTGTGCAAGGTCCCAGATCCTCCAAGTGCTGAAGCCCGGCTGGAACCCTGGCAGTCTGCCCTTGTCTTTGGTGCTGAGTAATTCAATACAGTAGCCATTAGCTGCATGGCTATTTACATTAAAATTAAGATAAATAAAATCTAAATATCAGTTCCTCAGTCACACTAGCCGCGTTTCAAGTGCTCAACAGCCACAGGTGGCTGCTATATGAGACAGTGCAGATCCAAATCATTCCCATCCGGCTGAAAGTCCCTTTGCGCAATGCTTGAGCTCAGCAGTTTTCTTCCACTGAGTTACAACCTGGAAACCCTCACCCATTAAGAAAAAATTTGAAGCAGGGTCTTATTATGTCACCCAGGCTGGCCTTGAACTTGTGATCTTTCTACTTCAGCCTCCTGAGAAGCTGGGATTATAGGTGTGCACCACCATGCTGGGCCAGCTTTCACTTTTTTTTGCACAGGGGATTGAACCCAGGGTCACTTTAACTCTGAGTCACATTCTCATCCCTTTTTTATTTTTAATTTTGAGACAGAGTCTCACTAAGTTGCTTATGGCCTGCCTAAATTGCTGAGGTTAGCCTCAAACTTGTGATTCTCCTGCCTCAGCCTCCTGAGTGGCTGGGATGGCAGGAGTGCACCTTAGTACCTGGCTCCGCTTACTCTTAATCATTCACTTGGGTTCAGTAACCATCCTGGAATGTCTTGTTTAATGGTTCTACAATATGAATGCACCATAACTTAATTTCTGCCTTTCTTAACTTATTTTGGTGGCTTTTATGTATTTATTATCTTTTTTACAAAATCCAAACGTGAATGGAACCCAGGGCCTCATGAATTGGAGCCAAGTGCTTTACCACTGAGCCATACCCCCAGCCTGTTTCTGCTTTTATTTTTTAATTTTTTACAAATTTTATTTATTTTGTGGGGCTAGGGATTGAACCAGGGGTGCTCTACCACTGTGCTCCACCCAAGCCCTTTTTATTTTTATTTTGGGAAGCTAAGTTGCTGAGGGTGGCCTTGAACTTGCAATCCTTCTGTCTCAGTCCCCAAGCCAAGTCATTGGGATTATGGTTGTGCACCACTGCACCTGAGTCTACTTTTAAACATGGAGGTGTTTGTGAGATTTCACCAAAGTGAACATTCTCAGAGCTACATCTTTATGAACAGGCTTAGATTTTGAGTAGAATTGATGTTACAGAATCAGTGTTTAGAAGCAGTGAGGCTGGCGGCCCCCTTAGATAGGATTGGCAGGGCAAGGGAGGAGACCTTGGGGCTGGGGGACAGAGGTGGGAAAGGGTGACAGCCACCCACTGGTGAGCTCTCGTAGGGGCCAACACAGTGCAAGCCCAAAGCAGGTCACGTCTTAGTGGATCCTCACCAACTAACAAGGTGGACGTCATCCTGCCATTTATCAGAGGGGGAAACGGGTACTGGGTAGGGCTTGCCCAGGATCTGCTGCTCATAGGGTGTGCTGCAGTAAGGTGTTCATGGTGGTCCCAGGGAGGAACCCGGGTGGCATTGAGGCAAGTGCTCCGCCCATGGAGCTGCACACCCTGGCTTTAGTCATTTGGATGGGAGACAAGGAAAGGGTGAAGGCGTAGTTATGGGAAAGGAGGCTCGATTTGAGAACCATGTCTGTTGGCAGTGCCGCTGCCACCGTGCCTCACGGCTCCCACGCTCAGGCCTGTGCAGGAAGCGTGGCGCCAGCTAAGGGAAGCAGGCTCGCTCCCGGTGCAGCTGGGTGAGGGCTCGGCCAGCCACTCTGCACACAGCCTGTGGGTCAGGAAGGGCTTTACATTTTTAAATAGTTGAAAAAATCAAAAGAATAATATTTTGTGTTGGGAACTTAGATGAAATTCAAATTTTGGTGTTTCCTATAAATAAAGTTTTGCTGGAACACAGCCACGTCCCCTGGTCTGGTGTCTGTGGCTGCTTTGATGCTACAGCGACAGAGACTTGTGGCCTGGTCTCAAAGCCTCAAAGGTCCTCTTCTCAGGAAGAGTGGGCAACCCCTGGGTTGTAGTGGAGTTGGTGTCCAGGGAATGTCACAACTTGAGAGAACGGGGGCTTTGATTTCAGAATGTGACGAAGTCGAAGTCGGGCTGGGGTGTCCCCAAGAGAAGTTCCGCTGAAACGTCTCATTTCCCAGAGTGGAGGACTGACCCACTCGCACTCTCATGGGGCAGTGTCGTCCTGTCCCTCTGGCTTGTTCCTTTGGGAAACAAGAGTCGTGTTGAAGAGAGGATTGGGGTCTTTGGGACAGTGGTTTGCTTTTGTGGGTGACCTCGCCGGCACAGGCGTCCCTGGAACACCTGCCACATTTATTTCCTGCCGACAACGCAGCAGTTGCCTTGCCAGCCTCACGTCCCACCCCGCCTTGCTCGATGCCCCCTGCAGTGCTAGGTGGTAAAGCCAGAGCCTTACAGTTCATTTCTTGAATTGAAGGCTTGTTTCTTTTCTTTTTTTTTGTTACCAGGGGTTGAATTCAGGGGCACTCGACCACTGAGCCCCATCCCCAGCCCTATTTTGTATTTTATTTAGTGACAGGGTCTCACTGAGTTGCTTAGTGCTTCACAGCTGCTAAGGTTGGCTTTGAACTCATGATCCTCCTGTCTCAGCTTCCCAAATCGCTGGGATTACAGTGGTACAGCGCTCAGCATCCCCACCCCACTTGTTTCTTTCTTTTTTTTTTTTTTAGAGAGAGAGAAAAAAAAATTTTTTTAATATTTATTTTTTAGTTTTCGGCGGACACAACATCTTTGTTTGTATGTGGTGCTGAGGATCGAACCCGGGCCGCACGCATGCCAGGCGAGCGCGCTACCGCTTGAGCCACATCCCCAGCCCCCCACTTGTTTCTTTTAAATTATTGTTTTGCTTCCAGTTAGTGGAAATTCCTTAACTGAAGAAAACGATGAACAACTAGTCAAACTTGTCATTTGCTACATCTTTTATTGATTCACCCCAAAACCTAAATTAGCAGAAGGTATCAGAATGGCAAAAAGCTTATACAAGTCTGTAAAACAGCCAGGTGCTGTGACGCACACCTGAAATCTTAGCAACCCAGGAGGCCGAGGCAGGAGGATTGCAAGTTCTAGGCCAGCCTCAGCAACTTAGCAAGGTCATAAGCAACTTAGTGAAACCCAATCTCCAAATTAAAAAAAAAATAGGTCTGGGGACATAGCTCAGTTGGTGGAGCACTTGCCTTGAATACACAAGGCCCTGGGTTCAATCCCCAGCACCACCAATAAATAAATAAATAAATACATAAATAAAAATTTTTAAAAAAATAATAAAATAATAAAAAAAAAGAGGGCTGAGGATGTGGCTCAGTGGTTAAGTGCTCCTGGGTTCAATATACTCTCACACATTTTAGTAAGTGTTTTCATTGAGGTATTTATTTGTAAATAAAGAAGGAAATAATGCAGGTTAGTGTTTTATCAGTTTGACATTTAAAAATGTTTAATTCAGCTTTCATTAAAGAATTTAACACCTAAATTCTTTTTCAAAATTCTCTATCCTCGGGTTGGAAACTGGGGCCTCGTGCATGGTAGGTAGGCAAGTGCTCTAGCATAGATGACACCCTCAGCTCCTAAATTCTCTTTTTTAAAAATAGATTTACAGTATAAGAATTTATACAAATACCCAACTAGACAAATCTTTTGATGTCTAATGTTAATATGTCCTTCATAAATTCTCATTTCTTTTTGTTTTTCTACTTTAATGACATCATAGCTGGGCATGGTGGTGCATGCCTGTAATCCCAGTGGCTCAGGAGGCTGAGGCAGGAGGATGCAGGTTCAAAGTCAGGCTCAGCAATTTAGGGAGGCTGTAAGCAATCTAGGGAGATCCTGTCTCAAAAAGTAAAAAGGGCTGGGGATGTGGCTCAGTGGTTAAGGGTCCCTGGGTTCAGTCTCCAATACAAAAAAAAAAGACATCATAGAAGACAATAGCCGCAGTAAAGTCCTTTGTGGTGGCGCAGCCCAACTGTGGTTTCGTTGGTGACTTTTTCCCGTGTGAATAAGCGTTTTACCCTTGTTGATGAATAGTGTATTTATAGCTCTTTAAAAAACTGTCCAGTTTTGCCTTTCACTTAACACTCAAAACTCCTCCCATGTCCTTCCTAATTCCTGACTGCAGTTAGTGGGTGAGCTCGTCCCACGTAACTGACTGCTGTCCACGTAAGCCTCCTGCTGTCCGCGGCTCTCTGCTGCTCTAAATAACACAGCCATGGCCCTCAGTACAGAGTTCTGCAAGTGGGGTGAGTAGATGAGGGGACAGGGAAGTCCTAGCCTGCTCTTAGAGGAAGAGAAGGAGGGCCATGGCCTCGGAGCCACTACTGTTAACACAGTCAGGAGTCACTCCCTCTTGAGTGAAGAACTGTGATCGAGGATTCTTGACTCTTGTAGGTAAAATGGCTTCCTCGTCTCCTGGGCATATTCCAGATGAATGCTACGCTGCTTCTCATCTCAGCCTGTCACATGACACACCAGATACGCCAGCGTGCTTCCCACGCAGAGCACACTTCGGCTCTCTCCACCTATTTAGTTATTCAATCCTCACTAATTCACATCACTATTTTATTTTTTTTAATTAAACAGGAAAGAGCCAGACTTCTCAGAGGTCAGTCTGTTCAACAAGTGGGACCCCAGGGCCTTCTGTATGTTCAGCAAAGAGAGCTTGCAGTGACCTCCCCAAAGGATGGTAGGTTAGGAAGCAGTGAATTGGGCGTTATCCCAAAAGGCTACTGGATATTTTATTTTATTTCTTTTTCAAACAGGCTCCATCTCCATTCTGGGTTCTGATGATGCCACTACTTGTCACATTGTGGTCCTGAGGCACACAGGTATGATGAGAGAGGTGGAGGACACCATTGCTTAAACCGGCCCAGCAGTGTGGGACCATTTCCCTTCTCACCTTGAGCTTCCTGGTACCTGTTTGAAAGCTGACTTGGCTTACCTTCTCTCTCGTCATCTGCATGGTACCTCCCTGTTGCCCTGGTCAGAATGGGTTGGCTGGGCAGCACGGACTTTTCTATTTTTTTTTTTAAACAGGACATTCAAAGATGAGGCAGCTGAGTGGACAGGAGTAGTCCTGGCTTGCTTCCTGAATTCCCTGGGGAATAACCTGAGTCATTTCACCCTTGTTCTTCAGGTAATGGGGCTACCTGCCTGACACATTGTGATGGAACTGACACCAAAGCCGAGGTCCCCTTGATCATGAACTCCATAAAATCCTTTTCTGACCACGCTCAAAGTGGAAGGTGAGCTCCATGCTACTCTTTCGTGAATTGGGAACTTTGTGGCATCGTGACACTACCATGGCTTGCTTGCTCCCCTGAGAATGCAGCCCGCCTTGGCACTGCTGCAGCAGTGAGTGAGTGAGTGGACGGGTCACAGGTGCAGGCAGGTAGTCAGTGCTGGGTTCTCCACAGGTGGGACCCTGAACCTGTCGTTCCACTTTTAGAGATGTGCTGTTAGGTCTGGGCCCTTCACATGCTGCTGGTACTGCAACTGTGGCCTCTCTCGCTCAGCAACTGCTTGTTGAAATGCTTCCTCTGAGCAGCAGCTGGCCACAGAGCCAAGCACGTGCTGCCCCATGGTGCTCTCTCAAGGGAGGAGTGGGCCCAGGAAACCACAGGGGTGTCTGGTGTGTGTGTGGGGGGACAAGGCAGGGAAGCAGCGTGTGGAGGCTGGGGCGAGGGGCAGTTTGACATCCCAGTCCAGTGGTGGCTTGGGTGTGGATTGCTGGGTAGAACCGGCCCCTGACCTGGCAGTCCCCCAACACCATCTGTTCCTCTCAGCCCCCGCGCTCCCTCCATTTGACAGGCACACAGAGGAAGTATACTGGAGTCACACGGCTAGAGGCTAGATCAGTGCTGGGCCTTCCACTCAGGCCACCATCACACCTCTGCCCCTCCTTCCTGTCACTGCACAGGCTTGACTCATTCTGTTGGTGGCCATAGAGTGAGCTAGTCCAGTGATATGCAAGTGCTTAGAATCCCAGGGAAGCTCCGTCAGTTTCACTCATTAACTTAAAGCAACGCAAACATTTTTTCTTCCTCCTTTGGTCCCCAGGACTGAACCCAGGGCCTCCTCACACACGCCAAGTGTATGCTGAACTGACAGCCCCAGCCCCCAATTTTAAATGTAATTGTCTTCTGGCTGGGTCAGCCACAGGCTGGCAGGCCTCGTTGCTGTGACCTGCGCAGTTGCGAAACAGCAGGTTCATTTTGTACTGGCTCCAGCAGGTTATGTCCTAGACCTGACGCTGGGCCTGGACTCCGGGGTTCTCAGAACATGGTCATCAGCTATTCCTGGTCTGTTCCTAGGGGAACTGATTTGGTTACTGTGGAAGCCCAGAGCCTAGTCTGGTAGTCCAGTGGTCACAGCCCTTCTTACTATTTAACATCTCTTATGAGGCCACTTGATGCCACACCCTGTACAGGGTACATAGCAGTTCTGGTTCATTCCTTAGGAAGGTCGTGTGTCTTGGTGGACATCAGTGCAATATGGCAGCACCTCTCCCCTCCCCCAGCACGAGTCTCCCAGGTTGTTATAGGCTATGGAGAAGGTCAAGTATGAGAAATGGGGTCAGACAAAATTAGTTTGGGTGTTGTAGTTGTATCACTTGTCAGAGCTTTACTGTACTCTGTGCATGGGGACTCCCAGGGAGAGGTCACAAAAGGCACGGTTTCTCAAACTACCCCTTGTTCCCATCTCATGGGGCCGTGTTTTGTGCTCACACCGTGGGAAGGTCTGGTGTCCTGGGTCCTAGGCTTGTGCTTTAGAAATGCAGATGAGAACCCCTCAGGAGGCAGCACCCACCTAGTGTCTACTTGCCAGGGAGCCCTCTCTTACATCACCCAGCTCCTCCTGGGTGAGGACCTCAAGAAATTTTAGAAGTGTCTTACTTGGGTGGGTGGATGACGAAGCAGTTGTGTTCCTCTAGAGCAGTTTCTCACCTCTGCACAGGTGGCACTGCATTTGTGTTCAGATGGCCATCCCCTCCGTCATCAGGGAGCTGGGCAGGGTCCTCAGAAGACTGCCAGTGGCCTTGGCAGCGCCACCCACATTCCCAGTGTGCCCCAAATTTGTGTGTTGTGAATGAAAAAGGCCAGAAGCATCCTGGAGCAGGGGTTCGTGGAAGCTCAGAACTAAAATCAAAGCAGAACCAGCGTGCCCTGCCGCGTGCCGTCCTGGCTCTGACCACCGTGCCGTCTCTTTGCCAGGCTGGAAGTGCACCTCGTGGGAGGCTTCAGTGATGACAGGCAGTTGTCACAAAAACTTACTCACCAGCTTCTTAGTAAGTTCATTATTTCTTTCTCTAGTTTGATAAAGATTTCCACCTATTTTTTGCTTGAGTTAAAAATCCCAACTAGAATGAAGCCTAAGAGGGCAGACTTGGAGTAGATGAAGAAATGGTCATGCTCAGCTGGAACTGAACACAGAGGTAGAACAGCACGGAGCGAAATGTGGAGGGGCTAACAGAATGGAGACAAGATTTTCAACTGGCACATTCTAGTATAGTAAATGATCCAAATTATATAAACAGAACCATTCTGGTGGGCATGTCCATTTTAACCTGCAGAATCTAAAACACTTATATTTTTATCCCTATTAGCAAAAAAACCCAACAACAAAAAAACACTGTCCTGTCTTAAAGCACAGCAGTGAGGCAGTGAGGTTGGCACACACACAGGCCAGAATACACATGAGGCAGCTGTCAGAAGATGATGCGACTTGGCATCATGGCTTAAGTTTTTAAAAGGTTTGACCCATCATTCTCCTTTTGGGAATCTTAAGTAATCTGAAATGCACACAGATTTATGCCCAGAGATGAGCAATAGAACATTATTTACAAGAAACAATAATCTGATAACTATCAGTAAGTTATGCAGTCACTAAAAGTTAAAGAACTTTGAATTACAAGCTCTTAAGCTTATACATGTGTATTTTCCCATGTGTATGAGAGGATATAAAATTGTCTACATGGTGTGAGTGGGTATGAAATTGACTCTATGCTTGGGCTCAACTGTCCACAGAAAAAGAGGGAAGGAGAGAGACTGAGTATTGACACAGCTAGGATAGTTACTTCATTATGCCCCTTGTATTTTCCACGATGACCATATTTTCTTGTATACATGTGTGCAGTGCTGGACATGGAACCCAGGGAGGGCCCTGGGAATGCTGGGCAAGCGCTCTGCAACTGAGCTTCACCACCAGCCTCACCAGATTTTTTATGACCCTGATAATCAAGGGGACAAAAGGTGATCAGAAGAAGAGTTATTAAAATCTACTCTTAGGGGTCTGTGTCCCCCAAAAGCTCTGAGAAGGAAGATAAAGATGGAAAGGCTTAGTTGTCTCTCCGTTGGGCTTGAGGCTAAGCATGTGTCTGGCCTCAGCCCAGGTGGTGGCTGTAAGGAGGGCGAGGCAAGCGCTCAGCTGGCTTCCGCCTCTGCCCCTGTCTTGACTTGCTCAGCAGTGTGTTCTGCCCAGAGGAACTTGTTTGACATCCAATTTTAAAATTCTAATTATAGGTGAATTTGACAAACAAGAAGATGACATTCACTTGGTGACATTATGTGTGACAGGTAAGTTTTGCCAAAACAAGCTGCAGGGTTCAGGTACGTTTTGCCCACAACTTTCCTGCAGGACTAGCACCAGGACCCAAGTCGGAAAAGACACACAGAGGTTGTCCCAGCTTTGTTGGCCGTCTCTAGCCACCACCGCCCACCCCACCCATGTCAGACCCTAGTGCAGGTGCTGGACTCTTCTCTCCACATGCACTGCATCTCCCTCCTCAGGACTGTCAGAGCCTGCCTCTCCTCTCTGGGAGGGGAGGCCCTGACCAGAGGAACTGCCCCCTGCTTGGCAGATGCCTGGGAAGCACCAGGGTCCTCTACTCAGCAGGGAAACTGCTATTATCTGGTTTTCTGATGTCTGCCCCTTGTGCAGTGAGGGCTCCTCCTCTGTTATTACACATAGTGAAAACAATTGTTTACAGCTTCTTAACGATTATATCTTAAACCTTTTTTTCTTAATTTCTTAGAATTAAATGACCGAGAAGAAAATGAAAACCACTTTCCAATAATTTATGGCATTGGTAAGTAGTGTGTTTACTTATGGATTGGAGGATTGGGTTCTTGTTGAGAAGGCGGACTCAGATCAGAATCTGACGGAGGATCCCTACTGCCGTCAGTGCACGGCAGGCTGGACTCCTCTTTTTACTGTGAGACCCTGGACATGCAATTTGACCTCTCTAACCTTTAATTGTGGAACTGCCACAACGTCCATAACCTGAGACTCTGGGGAGCAAAAGACAGCAATGCACAGCATACACTGCCCACCTGCACAGGACCCAATAGGGCCAACACAGGCCTGCGTGTGAGCGGGTGCCCTGTGGGGAGGGAATGGGGCATCTGGATCTGTGTGTACTTTGGGAACAAGGTAAGGTCTTTATTGAGAAAAAAGTGTATACCTCTCAGGCTATCCAGAACCTTTCTCCCTCCTGTGACAGTGCCTAGGATTCTCGGGGATGTGGTCTGTGATGGTCTGTGTTTGCAAAGGGGTTCTGCTGTACCCTCGTATTTATTTAGCAGGATGGTGAATATGCAGGTGCTCATCATCTTACTCTCTGTAACTCTGTGTCTAAAACTCTTAAAAGTTCAAGTTAAGAACACTATGATAGCATGTGGACATAGGGCTGACCAGATGGCTTTGCCATGTGCTTGCTGAGCATCTGCCAGGCACGGCTGGGGCAGGACATGTCTTACCTGGCCCGGCTCAGGCCTCGGTTGTTTTCAAGGCACAGAGACTGTGCTGTCCCTTTCCAGAGTGGGGAGGCTATAGACACCAGTCACTGTTTAGTTCCCAATCTTTTCTCTCAACTTCTGGCTCTTACATGATGGTAGAAATGTAAGACTGTGTAAGTCTTTTGTCAGTTCAGACTCATCCTGTTGTCCCTCACAGCTGTCAACATTAAAACAGCAGAGATATACAGAGCCACATTTCAAGATCGAGGCCCCGAGGAGGAGCTGCGAGCTGCCCGAGCTTTAGCTGGAGGCCCCGTGAGTGGGAATGTGTCTTTGTGTTATGGGGGTGAGGAGGGAAAATGAATGAAACACCAAAGGCTTGAGTTTTAAAGAACTTAGAAAAGCTCATGTCTGCCTCTTTAAAGCTCAAGACTGATTTTGGGTTATAACCCAGATCCCAGGTTCTCTGCCTTTTTAAGTGCAGGAGGATGTAAGTATGAATCCACAATGTCTAGATCCAAAGAGAATGAACCTCTTTTCATTTTAACGACTTTCCATGTACCTTTCCTACAAAGGGAGAGGGGAGCTTCTCTCCTCTGCACTTGGGATCTTGCATTCTTTTGGACCAAGTCACTGAAAAGCAGTGTCCTGGAATGATTTAATTAACCCCCCAAAATGATCAGATCAATTTAAAACATTAATTTCCTTTAGGGTACTCTCCCCTCCCCCATTTTGGTAGTGTTGGGAATGAGCCCCAGAGCCTGGTGCACGCTAGGCAGATGCTCTACAACTAATTTACATTCCCCAGCCCCTAGGATGCATTTAAAAAAAAAACAAAAACAAAAAAAGAAAAAACTGGTGCTTAGGATGCTTTTTAATTCTAAAAATTATGGTGGTATACACCTGTAATCCCAGACAAGTGAGAGACAAGTTTAAAGATAGGGTCTCACTCAGTTGCCCAAGCTGTTTCTAAAAGGGATGGGGATATATCTCAGTAGTAGAGCACCCAGCATTCAACTCCAAGTACTGTTAAGAAAAATACAAACTCAAGACTTACACGTTCCATTTGAGGGATGGCTTGAACAAGTCTTTAAAAGTACTCAAAAAAATCAGAAGTTTGCTTGTTTGTGAAATGCTGACATTTTCATAGGAAAACATGTTTGGAGTCAGGGTGATTTGTTTGGCCAATCTTGTTTAGGATTCATTTTTATTCAAGGTAGCATAATAATCCTAATTTGGTTAATATCCAGAACACATTTCAGTTTTAGTAACCAAAACTGACTCTTGTTGATTAAGCTGAAAATTATCTTTTTTTTTTTTTTTTTTTTTAACACCAAGGATTGAACTCAGGGGCACTCAGCCACTGAGCCCTATTTTGTATTTTATTTAGAGACAGGGTCTCGCTGAGTTGCTTAGTGCCTCCCTTTTACTGAAGCTGGGTTTGAACTCATGATCCTTCTGTCTCAGCCTCCTGAGTTGGTGGGATTACAGGCATGTACCACCACATCTGGCTCTGAAAATTATCATCGACAAATTTTGGGAATTCAGGGCTGGGGATGTGGCTCAAGCGGTGGCGCACTCGCCTGGCATGCGTGCGACCCGGGTTCGATCCTCAGCACCACATACAAACAAAGATGTTGTGTCCACTGAAAACTAAAAAAAATAAATATTAAAAAAATTTTTTTTGGGGGAATTCAGGGGATAGATCTCTTGATAAATCAGCTTTTATAAGCTGATGTTTCCTTTCTTTTGATGGGGCATCAAGCATTGAGAGCTTTTTTTTTTTTTTTTTGGTGATGCTGGGGATTGAACCAAGGGCCTTGTGCATGCGAGGCAAGCACTCTACCAACTGAGCTATATCCCCAGCCTGTATTGTGAGCTTTTTAAGTTGCAACGTGATCAGTTGCTTGGGGTGTGAATGATAAGACAAAGTTTTGTGCAGCCCTGGGAGCATAGACTTCGGTCAGACACACCTGGTTGTGAGGCCCAGCTCTGATGCTCACTGGACAGGTGACTTGCCACCTGAGTCTCCAGTTTTCATCCAAAGTGGGAAGACTGCCATCTCCTTGCAGGACTACTGTCAGAACTAAACACAGCTAAAAACATTTCCCCACCAAGTGCAGCACCAAACACACTTCAGTAGGTGGCAACTTTGTTATTATGTGAAACACAATTTTTAAGCAGCTTATCATCTGGAAGGGTGCCTTTGAACTAGACTACACTGGAGCTCAGGTAACGGTAGGGTTTGAGAAATGGGTAACATTCCTGATGGCCTATCCTTGAACTGTTCCCTTTTAGATGATTAGCATTTATGATGCAAAGACTGAGCAACTTCGGATAGGCCCGTATTCCTGGATGCCATTTCCACATGTGGATTTCTGGTTGCAGCAAGATGATAAGCAAATACTAGAGGTGAGAATTTACAGGTTGGGTAAATCTTAGATCTCTGGACCCTGGTTTTCTCATCTGTAAGAAAAAAAACGGTTTAGACTAGATAATAGCTGCTTTTCCTTCAGCGGTAATATTTACTTTCTTGAAGTCATTGGAAGACCCGGGTAACTATACAGGTGAAGCAATAAGGAATCTACTGTATTTACTGTACAAGATATGTACATAGAGAACTAGCTATCAATATGAGAATGTCCTGATTAATGATTACAGAACACAAAGATATTCTGACATCTTTATCAAAACAAGGCATAGAGCCACGTTCCTCTTCTCTCAAGCCCACAATCTTGTTTTTCAGAACCTTTCCACTTCCCCTTTGGCTGAGCCCCCCCACTTTGTTCAACATATCAGATCTACCTTGATGTTTTTAAAGAAATACCCCTCTCCAATGAATATGCTGTTTCCTGGAAATAAAGCTCTCCTCTACAAGAAAAACAAAGATGGCTTATGGGAAAAGATCTCTCCTCCAGGAAGCTAAATGTAGGAATTACCAAAGAAAGCTACTTTTTTGGCATGACAAAGACCATCCATGGGGTTTGGAAAGAAGATAAATTTGGAATGTACACCATTGAGTCTTAGGTTTCCTTCCTTCCTCAGTGTCTCTCAAATGACTTTCAAAATAAAATCTTATTTTGGCAAAGGCATTTGTTTAGATTTACTTTTTGCTTTACTAAAAAGGTCTTTTTTGCTAGTAACAAGGGACACAGGAAAAATTACCTGTCCCACTGGTGTATAAATGGCTATTTCAGACACATGCATACGTCTTCCTAATTCTGCTGCATTAGTCAAGTAAAATCAATAATTTTGTCTGAAAAACAGCATTTAAATGCAGTAAAATTCATTGTAGATTTATATATAGTTCAGAGTTTTCTAACCTAAGATTATTTTAGAAGCTTCATATCCAAAATTGCTCTACTAGAAAAAAAGTTTCATCTTGTTGTTCTCCAATATAACAACCTCTAAAATAGTCTCCTATCAGACTAAATTTGATCGGAGAATTATACCAAATCACTGTTCTTTAAGTATAAGGTCATTAAAATAAATGCCCAAACTTTGGTTATTATACAATTTATATTTTTAGAAACCTTTCATGTTTCTAAAGTTACCATCCAAAAGGAAGTCACCGTGCCTACTTAGTGGTAAGATTTATAAACTGAGTTCAGTGGTAACAATTTCAAGAACCTTTATTGAAACCAACATTCAAATAGTATCTCAAGGATGAAATTCTGTTTCAGCAAAACCAATTTAACAATTCCAAATATATATATAAAAACATTTAAAAATTAATCTTGTTAAAGGTGATAATTTACCCCTCCCCCTGGTTATCTGCTATACTTCATTGCACCAAATAAACAGGGAAGACTGTTTGATCATCTGCACCCCTCCCCCAAAAAAAGTAAAAAAAAGGAAAATTGCATTTTAACAAGTGCCAAATGTCAAAAATCACATCAAATCAGAATAATTATAGGCTTAATGTGGCATAACTAAGGCTCCAACACTGCAATCCACAGATCCATTGTGAATTCCTCCCCATCTATGCTCTCCCATTGCTTGACTTTGTGAGGCTAAAAAAAGGCACAGGGGCCCGATTGGAAGGAATGCGGTGCTTTGGGATAGTAGAAATGGGCAGGAATGAGGAGCTTACTTCAGTAATTGTAGCAGTCTGGCCTGGTCAGACTGGGAGAGATGACTTCTCTGGCTCTCCTTTCTGAGCTGGGCCCAGGGTGAGCTACAAGTGGAAGAGAAGCTGAAGGTGCTCCAGAGTGACAGGTCAAAGGTACTTACTTGAGAATTCCACCTAAGGAGCGCTGCACAGCATACTTAGTGTCGGACTCTTCGGAGCAGCCTCTTTCGGGCTTTCAGATATTAAACAGAAACGAGCTCAGTCTGATTTAAAAGCTTTACCAGTATTTAAAAATATACATATATACATATGTATATGTGTGTGTATACACACACATATACATATATATATATATACACACACACATGGTCAGGAAGAGATATTAGAGTTACTCTTAATAGATGAGTCCTTAAATTTGTTTATAAAGAGTATATAAAGGGAGAAAAGGAATTGTGGCAGAGGACAGTTCCAGACAGAAGCCTTGCCACAGCTTGGTGGACACAGTCCTTACTCAATCTCCAGGAAAAGCAGCAGTTGGAGACAGCAGGAGGCAGCTTCTTACACTCTCACTGTCCCGCTGAGACCTGTTCTCCTTGAAGCCAACCAATCCAACTCGATCATACTAGAGACCCTTGAACCAGATGGACGAATGCTGTGGTCTCCCTCTACGGAAGCCCAGCAGAGAACCTGTGGAGTCCTAATGAAGGCTGCTTTGCCACAAAGTCACTATGTGCAACCTAACAACTTACGCTTATATTCAGAAAGATGAAAGTGTTTCAAATGGCAGGCACCCGAAATTTTAAATATTCTTTCTGAATAAAAAGTGTTTATGACAACTTGGGGGAAATGGGATTACTATAGTTGGGTGTGCCAGAAACAGTAGTAGTTGGCTGTTTTACATACATATAACATCATCGATTGCCCTCCTAGAAAGCCTGGCTTTCAGGTATGTGTTTGTGCAAAAAAAAAAAAAAAAAAAAAATTATTGTTTAGCACAAATAAGTCACTCCTGTCGTGTGAGCATGTGGCACAGTTCGCATTTTCAACACAACTCCCCTCCCGGGACAGCAGTCAGTCCGCCCTCCACCCAGCTGCGTTTTATCTTAAGCTCTCCGGCTCTTCTACCTGTGGGTGGTTATCTTCAGGGTGCTGGGCCCTGTTCTGGAGGGCCTCGGGATGGCTAGCTGGAGGGACGGAATCCCCAGGGGGTTGCTCAGGGCCATGGGCCATCTCTTGGGTATTTTGCTCGGGTCCAGTGGATAGGTGCTCCATCCTTTCCAAGTCTTCAATGTGACTGACAGAGCTGGTCTCACTCACTGCATCTGAACCTCTCAGGGACCTTTTGAAAGGCTTTTGGCCTAGAGAAAGATGGGGTGGGTGGTGCTGAGCGAAGATGCCTGCCTGAGGCCTTCTGCAGCCAGCACAGCTTTACCTCACAGTAACTGCTTCATCAGGAACCCTGCAGTTCCTGCCTCTGAACCACCTTAAGAGGTGAGGGGGAACCCAGAATTGCTACTGTGACATTAACATACTCCCCAAGCTGCAACCTTTGAGGTTCTCTTAATAAAAGCTCAGAAGAGTAAGCACCTTGGTGAAAATACTGCCAGCTCCCCAGACCTTATGTGTCCCTTGGAATGCCACTGAGGCATTCTTTAAGGTTAAATCTCAAGACTACTTAATGGTTAGTGACAGGGATAGTTGGTCTTAAGAGAAATAGGACTTTGGATTCAAGAACCAGGAAACCACAGGAATGCAGCAAACAGGGAAAAACTATTATTTGTGATGCCAAGGTCTGTTTTCCCAAGAGAAATACAACCAATTTTATTCCTTGTTAACGAACTCAAAACATGGAGATGTGAGGTACCTGGAAGTCTCTGTTTGATTCGAGTGCCTGAGGGGGTTGGAGGTGGTGTCACTCCTGTACCTTGTGCTTTGTAGACATATGTGTGTTCTGTGGACTCCAGAGAACCTGCCAGGAAAAAAAAGGACAGGAGTGGGTGGAAGCTCCTGGCAGAGGCTGTCCTGGGAGATGCCACCTGCCCTTAATCAGCCTGGTGCCTTAATAAGCTGTGACTAGCCATTCAGCTTCCCAGACTGGTGGAGACACTGTATTGCTGAAATGTGCTGAGAACTAGGAAAAGCTGTGCTGCAGCTGGCTCACGTGGCCACCCTGCTGAGTGTCCTATCCTCTCCTGTCTCCTGAGTCCCTGGGAATGTGTGGCCAGTGGTGTGCACAAACACCCCTGGGGAGCCAGGCCCAGCTGCGGAACTCACTTTAGCAAGAAGAAACAGACACCTCTTTGCTAAAGGCCGAGGCTTGGCAGATTAGAAATCAGATTATCTTTTGCTGTTATGACAATGCAGTCATCATTTCCTGGGGAAGGAACAAAGGAGGGACCTAGGGGTTGGGAATATTATTTCCTTCACAGAGCAGCAAAGAAGTCATAGGCTTTACTATTTTCCCCAAATTCCAGCGACTGGTTACACTGCTGGCTGCCTGCCTGGCGTTAAACAAGATGTCCTAGCGCTGCGTGCTGTGTCCTTGGCTGCCCACTTTTTAGAGTAGCTTCTGCTGGGAACTACAAGGAACAGTAACCCTGAGCTCAGGTGCCCAACCCCCGTTGCCTTAAGGTTCTGAACAAACATGTCTCCACTGCTTCAAGGCACCAAGCCTGCCTTGTAGGGCTGTGTCAGCTGTCTGGGGAGAAGGAAGGTGGTAACAGTAGGGGCAGACATGCTTCACCTGCTCAGGTGCCTGGCAGAGAACCCAGGGATAGAGAATGGGAATGGAAGAGACTTCTTAGCAGAAGGGGAGTTGGAAACTCAAGGTGTTTGGTTAAAACTCTCAGGTAAGTGAGAACAGAGTCCTACCTGCTGTTAAGTTAAAAGTTCTTCCCTTTTGTGAAGCTTGCACTGGAGAAAACCAATTCAGCAAGGATCCTACTACAGGTATCTGCCGCAGCACTCCCTGTAAAACATAACCATTGCTCAGAATGGCCTTGCTGAGCCCCCTCCCAGCCCATGGCAGCTGGGGGTCCTTGTGGTGGCCTCACCTCTTCCAGAAGTCGCTCCTCATTCGCCTTCTGCAGCTGGACCTGAGCTTCCTGAATTCCTTTCCGAACAACTTCCGTCATGTTTTCCAGAAGCTGTTTAAGACCAAGAAAGGCATTATTTGCCTACGTCTCTTGCCTAGAGCCTAGAAGAACTATGAGCACAGCATTTGGGACATTTTTCAAAAATATATCAGTAGATTCTGCATTAAAACACCGGTAAAAATGAAAGTAGAAAATCAAATAAGAGTATAAAATGCTCATGGAGGCCCAGACACACATATCTTGGCGACTGCCCTCATTTGCCAGGCAACAGAGGAGAAATAACTACTTACAACCTGAATGTTGCATCAATGGAAAACACGCTGTTCAACATTTATGGAGAAAGAGTCAGAAGTAATGTAGAAGCCCACCCCACAGAGAATGCAGCTAGTATCTAGCCTTATTTTAAACTTCCTTCTCTTCCCACACTACCCAAAGGAATTACATAACACACGTCTGCTTCCTCTCAGACATGCCTGGTTTGGAGAGTGTGTCCTCATCCTTGTACCCTCAACCTCCATGCCAAGTGGCCAACAGGGGCAGGTCTGTTTCTGGTGGGAAGTCCGTTATCAGAAACACCTGCCTCATCCACTCAAGCCCAGCTAGCTCCTTTTTGAGAGGGAGGCGTCTACCATCCATAGTCTGCACCGCACCGCGCTTCTTGGCTGAATGTGCCTCTCCCCACTGCCTGGTGAGCTCACCAGGGCAGGGACTATGTCACACCCACTTGGCATTCCTGATGCCTGGCACCACGCCTAGCAACAATGACAAGCTTTTTGGGAAAGAACTCAGAGTAGACATTTTTGAGGGTAGCCTTTTTCTTCAGGACCCCAACTAGCTGGCCAACCAAGACCTAGAAAAGGTATTAAACACTGACTGGTCTTACGGACCCTGGAGTTCTCCTCGATCTCCCGGGCTGTGACTGCAATGGTCTCCACTAGTTCGGAAACATCTGTGTCGTCACTTGCCATGCCAATGTAGATGCAGCTCTTCATACTTTTGTATTCAGGGCCTGTGGAAACAACAGACAAGCTTGGCTCCCAAGTCCTCTGATGAGGGTGAGCCCTGGGCCACTTTCCTTTATAATAACCAGGACCATGCAGAAGGAGCCTCCTTCACAGAGTGAGGAAGACACCGCTCAACAGGGGAAGGTGCGGAAGGCTATTGAGGAGGAGGGAGGACTCGCCCTAGGAGCCGCACTTCCATCTGCACTGAGCCAAAGCTTCCTCCCAAGAGGAAACCTGTTTTCTTCTAACCATTATAGAAAATGTCCCTCCAAAGATCTTTACTCATAAAAGCAGTAATTACCCATTTTAAATGTAAGATCAGATTCCAGTTCATTTAACTTTTTCAGGAGTGCAGCATGGATATTTTCCCCCTCTGGGTCTGATTTCAAACTGTTCTTATCATCATTAGCATGTTCATACCTAAAAACAATATCAAACAACAGCACTTCAATCTAAGAGAACAAATGTCTCTTCAGACACAGGATTGTAAGTGGAATATGAGCTACTAGAGATTAACATGGATGTGAAGTGAGACAAGGGAAAGGAGCCACTGTTGTGTCTTAAGATCAAAAACTTACAAGAATATTCTAAGTCTTTGGCCCATGAAAAATCAGGAAGAAACAAGGTCTGGAGGTCTCTTACATGCCTTGAAAAACAGGAGATGGGCCTCCTTAGAGGAAAGCATCCACAGAAGGACTGTAGAGGCTTCATGTAGAGGCCAGTGGAGAACTCTCTTCCTTAGACCTGGGTTCTTTTGCTTATTGATTTGCAGTTCTTATATACCCAGGAGGGTAACCATATCTCAGGGTCTCCCCCTGGAACTTGCACATTGGCACATACAGACAGAGCTCACGTGGCTGCCTGCTTCACAGAACGCAATGGGGACCAAACCACCTGTGTGTGCTGGGCCTTAATACATGTCCAGAATGCCTAGGTGAGTTTTCAATAGATAACTATGCTATGACTTATATTCATCTTGGATTTCTAAGCTGGTTCACAAAATGTCCCACCCATGTGCTTGACACAGCCAGGTCATCTTCATCACGTGGCCAGCCAGACCTTTACCTGACAACCCCGATTCCAGGCCAGTTGGGGTCATCAACATATAGGAGACCTGCCATCCCTTCTACTTCCTGCTTGAACTCTTCACGCAGCTGTAGGGTACAGGTCAGGACTGGCAGTTTGCTTTCAATACAGGCTACTAGTTGATCCACATCCTCTCCTCGAGTTCCTAAAACTGAAAACATTCACAGGATGTATAAGAAATGCTTAAGGAATGGTTAACAGTGAGAAGAAGGGCTCCCCTTCTACTCTTAGCAAGGTCAAAGGCTCTAGGTACATCCAACTGGCTGCAGCTGAGGAGTTTAAAAAAAAAAAAAAAAGCCACTCAGCTAGATATGAAAGAATCACATTAAAGATTAACATAGCCAGCTGTTTCAGGTGTAAATATGCTCTCCTCCCATACAAGATTATTTATTTATTTATTTATTTATGGTACCAGGGATTGAGCCCAGGGCTACTTAACCCCTGAGCCACATTCCCAGCCCTTTTTATGTTGAGACCGGGTCTCATGAAGTTGCTTAGGATCTTGATAAATTTATGAGTCTGGTTTTAAATTTGCAATCCTCCTTCCTCAGCCTCCCAAGCCACTGGGATTACAGGTATGTGCCACTGTGCCCAGCTCATAGGTAATTTTAATACACAATCAAATTCTCTAATGTAGAAACCAAATTCTTCTCACAGAAAGACTGCTTTGATTAGGTCATAAATATCCTTTCACAGGTTAAACACAAAAAGGAACCACAGGTCCTCTCTCCACATTACTACAAATGGAGTGAAAGTAAAGTCTTTTGGTGGATTTGTCTGAGATGCCAGGAAGGGCAGGGGATGGTGCCAATACCATCATTTCAAGGTAAGTGCTAAGAGTAAGAGGTGTTAGGGCTTTGGGTGTAAGTGTCTTGGGATGCTACTCCCCCATCCTTCCCTCCATTCAGCCACGAATCCCAGCAAGCTCAGGATGTCCTCAGCTGGCTTCTCCAGCCTCAGAGACTCAGCCTCCAGGGCCAGTGGTGAGGCCATTAGCAATCTCCATAATAACGGATTTTTTTTTTAAGTATTTTTTTAGTTGTAGATAGCACCACATAAAAAGTAACTAAAGGACTGTGTCTGAGGATTGAACCCAGTGCCTTATATATGCCAGGCAAGCACTCTACCACTGAGCCACAACCCCAGCCCCAATGGCCTTTTTTTTTTTGCAGGACAAATGCCTGCATTTTCTTGCTTTCATGACTTTGAGAAAATATCATCCCCCAAAAGTTGAACACATCTCATGAAAAACCACCAAACATTTTCTGAAAATATTTAGATCATCTCTCAAAAAAAGCACCACCACATTTTTACTTTCTTCCAGATGATTTTTAAAAAACTGACACATAAAAATTGTACATATTCATAGGGTACCAGGTGATATTTTGATACATGTACACACTGTAGTGTACAAATCAGGGTAAGCATCTCTATCTTCTCACACACTTACCACTCACGTGTGGGAAAGCATTCAAAGACCTTTTACTAGTTATGAAATGTATAGAACATTATTGTCATCAGAGGTCACCCTACTGTGCAACAGGACACCACAGTTATTTCTCCTGTTGTTTAGTTTTCATTTCGCTACCGTGAGGTAATGGGGAATGTCTGGAGAGCAAGAATCTTGCTCAAGGTCCCACAGGCACTTAGTGGCTGAGAAGGAAGATACATGTCCCCAGGGCTTTGTCATGAAACACATTTTGAACTACACTGCTTTCTGAAAAGTCTAAAATGGTGGCTCTCAACGTTCACTGGCCTACTGGAATCTGTGGGGAATCTTCTGGATAGTGGGACACATGGAAGCTCTTGGAAGATGGTGCATCAGGAGAGGGCATGGGAGCTCTGTGCCCTTTCTTTATACCTTGCCTTGTATTAGGTCTTCACCTCTGAGTACCAAAACATATTGTTGTACACCTTAAATACATACAGCAACAACAAAATGCAACTGAAAAAAAAAATACTGATGTCCAGGCTCCACTCCTGGACCTAAGAAATCAGATTCTCTGTTGATGGCCCAGCTGCTGGTAGTTGTTAAGTCCTGCAGGTGATTCAAACATGCAGTTGGGAGTAAGAATCATTGAAACAGAAAAACCAGGGTCACAGAATATCAGAGCATAGGAATTTGTGATTTCAGAAGTCTCATTCTATTTTTGAGATGTTACACTAGAATGTTAATCTACCTAAATGTAGTCCAAAAGAAAAGTTAAAGCCCTTCCAAAAAGAATGTTGGAGCTGGGTGTGGTGGTGCACCACTGTAATACCAGTGACTCGGGAGACTGAGATAGGAGGATCCCAAGTTCAAGGCTAGCCTCAGCAACTTAGTGAGAGCAAAGCACTCCTGGATTTGATCTCCAGTTACCATCTCCACCCCCCAAACAGACAGACTGATGGAAACCACAGAACCAATCAGCAGCAGCGTGGACTTTAATAGACTTGGAACCACTCCCTCTGGAATAAAAATGAGGGAAATCCACGAGACTGTTTACCTGCAGCTGTCATTAAAGGGCTGAATCGTATACATGTGCCCTCGACTTCCAGGTCCATGACAGTGAGGCCACTCGCAGGTACCAGCTGTTTCAGTTGCTCTCCCAGCTGTGGGACAAGGACAGCGCATCAGCTCCTACCACATAGGACTCGAGTGTCCCCCACCTCCCCTCACCCACTCAGCCCAGATCACAGGCTCATAGAGCTGGTGTCCTTTCATATTCAGACTGTCTCTAAATACTTATGAGTTACTTGTTTTTTAAAATGGCACATTTTACATTTTTTTTCTTATTAATACAAGTTAACTGTAGAAAAAAATGTGAGATGCAGGTAACCCAACACCACAAAGTAAAAATTACCCATAACACACCACTCAAAAACACCAATTGTTGATATTTGGATCTTTTCTGAGTGGAGTGTTTGTCATAAAACATGATATTCTAGAACATGACTGAGACTGTGATCCTAGTAGTACTGCAGTATCCAAAAAGTGGCTGAGCATGTAGCCTTGGACTGGCACTGTCAGCCTGCCACAGGCACACATGGACTTGGCCTGGTGCTTCTGATATGGCTTGGACCTCACCCCACACCCAAGCAGCAGCACTGCAGCCCGTATCTGCTGTTTTACAGGCGCAGACAGCAACAGTGGTCATGTGAGGAAAGTAAGGAAAGGAGGCCAAAGACTTGCCAGAGGTCACAGCATGGGAGGTGGGGATCCGATTCAGAGCAGAGCCCAGAACAAGCCCAGTGCCTTCCGAGGAGACTCCCTGCCTGTGAGTCAGATTTCTCATACGTGACCTTGTGCTGTCTCAGCTAGGAGGCCAGGTGGTGATGCTCTGGGATGTACAAGGGAGCAGACTGGCGGTTTCCTTACCCAGCGATTCAGTGCATCGCAGGAGTGCCTCTCCCGGTTGACTGCTGAAGGTGCCGTGTTGGGTGCTGGGACAGCTTTAAGCACTGAATCTGAGGCCAAAACACAGGAGGATTCACTCTCAGAAACATGGCTAGCTAAAAGAAACATCACAGTGAAACCCCACTTCACTTAGATCACAATATGAAAACAGTCTCATATTATTCAAATCAAATGTGTCTGACAGAAGATTTAATATTCCACACCTTTTTTCCCTCATGAACTATGTAACAGCTGAATACAGTCACAGAAACCAAATTATTTCATTTTAAAAAATGGCTGTTTTCAAGAAATTTTGAAAGGCAATCCAAAAAAGCAAAACAAAAACAACAAAAAAAACTGAAGGTTAACAACCAGTCTAACCAGCATCATGCAAGGTCAGAGTTCCCAACAGCATCCACATTGGGTTTCACAAAAATTACCCTTCAGCTCTTAAATGGTTTGGGAACTTATTCATGCCTAAGAATGTGCCAGACAGGCACATTCATCTTGGAGCTTACATTCTCGTTGAGGAAATGTACCATAAAGAAAACGAAAACCACGAGCTGGGGTTGTGGCTCAGAGGTAGAGTGCTTGCCTAGCATGCATGAGGCACTGGGGTTCAATCCTCAGCACATTAAAAAAAAGTAAAATAAAGGTATCGTGTCCACCTATAACTAAAAACAAATGGATAAATATTAAAAAAAAAAAAAAAAACAACCACTATGTCATTGCTAGTGCCATGAAAGAAGGCAGGGACTCTAATACGATGGAATCATTTCAGACAGGACAGACGGAGGAGGTGGGCAGCTAGTGGAGACCTAAATGGTAAGGAACCAGTCCCTAGAAGAGCAAGAGGAAATGTGTTTGAAGTAGAGGGAAGAGCAAGTGCCATGGCCACATGCTAGCAAAGAGCATTGTAGGAATGTGGAGAAGACCAGTCTGTCTGAGGCACAATGACAAGAGGTGTCAGAGGAAGTCAGGGAAGAACATGACAGCCTCACATGGCATGGGACAGAGCCTGGGCTTCATTCAGCTGAAACATACTGATGGCTCTGGAGGGCACATACGCTGTGATTTCCACTTACAACGCTCACTCACTGCCCCGTGGAGCATGGTCTGGAAGGGGCTATGTACAAAGGAGGAAATCAGAGATCAGCTAGATGGGGACTGTGGCCACTGAGGTAAAAAACAGTGATGCCCTGGACTAGGTTGGTGGCAGTTGGGATTTCTTTTTTTTTGTTCTGGGGATTGAACCCAAGGGCGCTTAACAATGGAGCCACATTCCCAGCCCTTTAAAATATTTTATTTAGAGACAGGCTACTGCTGAGTTGCTTAGGGCCTTGCTAAGTTGCTGAGGCTGGCTTTGAACTTGTTATCCTCCTGACTCAGCCTCCTGAGCCACTAGGATTGTAGACATGTGTTACCATGCCCAGCTGGGACTTATTTAAAAATAAAGATTCCTAGGTCTAACCTACCAAATCAAAATATCTAGGATATAGGACCCAAGAATCTTTATTTTCAAGTGACTCTTCTTAGCCAATCTAGGACTGGTCCAGAAACTGGCATTTAGTAACCACTGGTTTAATCATAACTATAATTTTTTAAAAAATTTTATTAGTTTTTTAGTGGTACTGAGGATTAGACCAGTACTAAGCAAGTGCTCTATCACTGAACTATATCCCCAGCTCAAAAATATTTTTGATTATTTAACTTGAAATAGTATCAAATTTAAAGCCCTTAAATACATATATGAAAATAACCCTCTATTAAAAATGACCTACCTGAGTCTGGTAATTCCTGGAAAAATCTGAATACCACTACTGGAGAACTGAGCTCATCTTCTACCTGCAAAAACAGAAGTCTGGGATTACCAAGTGATGGCAAATTCCAAACACCCACAGAATGAAACACTGAATTTGGAAAATAGGCTAGAGATCTCCATTTTGTAACCAAAAGCAAAGATTTGATAAAATTTTTAGGTGTACCTATGAACCAGCCTGATAGTACTCTGTGGATTCTAGGATTAGCCTCTAACAATGTACACTGACATTAAATCAGGAAGAAATCTGAATATTAATAGATAAACATAGTTCTACCATTAAAGATCCAAAAAGTAAGGGAAAAGTAGAGCTAGAATCATCCTACAAATGCTTTCAAGAATTCCAGAAATTATTCAGGATTTATTAAAACTTTTTATACCCTCAGTGGCAGGGAGAACAAGTACTTTCTCTGCACCTTGTAAAATTTCCAGAGCAGAATGCGAGACCTGCAGGCAATATAGACACCCACAATCTAGAACTGTATATGTATTTTCTAAATATACTTACTTATATTTAGTACTCAGAATCACTACTTATACAGAACAGGCATCAATTGACCACATTAATGGATTTCATAATAGATGAAAACATTCACTGGATTATGAAAATATGGCAGAAGTTCCTGCTCTCCACTGAACAAACAAGCGGTCAGCCATCAGGTTCGCCATGGGGTCAGGGTACAGTGAGCAGCAATGTCCTTGGCAGCCTCTGTGGGTGACTGAGGGTGGGGGGGCGGTGCATCTCTGGGGGAGAAGTTCTCTGAGCATTCAACAATAGCAGCACTATAACTCTAGTCATGAAACTCATGCTCCAAGGCAGAGTATGATGACTCACCCGTAGGGCCACAACAGGAAATGCTAACTCGGAAGAGACAGGAAGTAGCTGACCCCAAAACTTTTCATAAGGCCTTGTGAATATAATTCTGATTAAGATTTATATTCAAATCTGCCAATTATTTAATGAGCTAGTTCCTATGCTAATATGCTCTCAGATTCTGTTACCTCCTTTAACTTTTACATAAATAAAATTGTTAATACTTTTAAAGAAACGGGGGCTCAATATTTAAATAGATCAGTGTGGTAAGCCCAATAAGCAAGTAGGAACAAAAAAGGTGGCAGTAATTCATCTGTTCCCAATCTTCAGTTAAGGAAGAATAATTTTTTTTTTTTTTTTTGGGAGAGAGAGAGAGAGAGAATTTTTTAATATTTATTTTTTAGTTTTTCGGCGGGCACAACATCTTTGTTTTTTTGTGTGTGGTGCTGAGGATTGAACCCGGGCCGCATGCATGCCTGGCGACCGCGCTACCGCTTGAGCCACATCCCCAGCCCCAAGGAAGAATAATTTGAGTGCTATGACTTCTATGTATATTACGACCGACTGCTTTCCTTGAACTCCAGACTCAAGTGTTGATAAGCCTAAGGAAGACGGCACAAGGCTATATACATAAACTTCTAGTTCTAGCAACATGGCAGACTGGGCTAACGCTGAAGTTATCAATTCTAAATATCTGAGATACTGGATTAAATATAACTACAATGATAAAAAGTTTAAACTACTGCTGGGCTCCCAACAAAGGTTAATTCAGAAAGAAGACTGTAAGCTGAGCTGCAGGGAAGAAGCATGGATGGCCGGGGCCTGGCTCTCACGGCCAGGGCTGTGGGTTTTAAGGCACACATGAGGGATAGTAGTGAGTTTGCATAAAGTGTTCAAGAGCTTCTGCAGGAAAAAAGTCAATGAACAGATACATGATTTCAGAGAGTAATAAGTACACCCTAGAAGGAAAAAAACCTAGGGATAGAATGATAGATGGCAGTGGGAGGTTATCTTAGGGTGGTCAGGAAAAGCCTTTCTGAAAAGTTGATATTTGAAGTAAGATATGAAAGCTAAGAAAGCAGTCACGAGAAGAACTGGGAGCAATGGGTGTTTCTAGGCAGAGGGAGGCCGCTGCAACGGTAAACTAGGTGGTGCAGGCAGGTACTCAGGACCACACACGGTGCTCAGGAAGCATATCCCAAGGAGCAACTGCGATGGTGATAATGAGGACGACTGACAGGACCACAGTGCTTTGTGATGTTTGCCAATTATTGTATCCTCTATGAAAAAAACAGCCGCTGGAAGAAGGGATGGAGCAGGGTTATGTCTGGGCTGTGTGTGGCCTTATAAAGATGCTCCAAAAGAACTGGTCATTGGTTAGGTGCAGGGGTGCACAACTGTAATCCCAGCTACTTAGGTGGCTGATGCAAGAGGATGACAAATTCTAGGCCAGACTGGGCAACTTAGAGAGACCCTATCTCAAAATTCTTTAAAGGGGGCAGTGCTGGGGATGTAGCTCAGTGGCAGAGTGCTTGCCTAGCATGTGCAAGGCCCTGAGTTTAATCTCCAATCCCCCCTCACCCCGCAAACAAACAACACAAAACCCCCAAAACCAAACCAAGAAACTGGTGATTAATTAATACCATTAAACTCCTCTTACTCAGAGGAGAGAGGACTTGAGGAAATACTGGAGTGGGTTTGTAAAGCAGGACCAGAAAAGAATCCAGGCTCTGCATTGCCTTGATTCCCAACAGCTTTCTCAGTCTGATCCATACTTTGGGTCTTTCTCTTTGCAGTCAGTAGAATCTAACATACTTTGATTTAACAGCTGAGATCACAAGCTCAGAAGATTAAGAAAATGACTCAGTGTCATAGGGCTACCCAATGGCACTACTGAGAGCAGAACTTAAAAGTCTCCTGACTTGGAATCATCCCTGTTCCTTCTCCAGTGTGATATTTGAAGTAAGGTTCCCCCATCTAGAATTCAGGTCAAGTGGATCCACGCAGAGAGTCTCCCCACCCAGCCTTGCTCTAAAGAATAAATGCACTATACCAAGTTGAGCCCCAAATAAATTCAAATATATAATCCCAGCAACTTAGGAGTTTTAAATTGAACTGTACTCTGAAGAATTATCAAAGAAACAGTCTTTTAATAAATATCTAAAATATAATGAAATTCTGAAATACAAAATAAAACATGAAAACATTCCCACCTGAACTGATACATTCTTGGTTTTTAGGACTGCAAAATTTCTCATTTCCTTGTCTCAGGATAGAGGGAGCAATCTCTGAAAGATTCATTGTAGGAAGACACGAGGAGAAGAGCAGGTCCATTTGCTTTTCTCCTCATTCTCCTTCATGCAAATGAAAACTCTGGTGTCAGAAGGCTTCAGAAAAAGTAGCCCAAAGCATTCTGAGACACAGAAGGCTTTCTCATTTCAGAAGATGGGTGTTCTAGTGTTCTTGGATAGGTGAAGACGTTGGTGCTTGTAAGACCTTTGTGCAATTCTAAATCATAACAGGATAAATGGATGATATGAAAGCACTATAGGAATTTAAAAATTGCATGGTATACATTTCTCCTCTTGAGCTATCTGTGTAATGAGGTTATTAACTCACACATGTATCTCTCCAAAGATTCTGGTTTTATTTACTTGGAGCTGTTATAACTCAACTGATATATATTACATCTGTAGAAAATCATTCTATTGCTGAAGTTAAAAAAAAAAGTTACTTATTTCAAAAACACAGGCAATTATATACTATACCAAGATTTTGATGTGGTTCACTTTCTTCAAACTTTCCTGCAACCGTTGGCTCTGCAAATGACAAACAACAATTTGTGTAATTTCATTAGAATGATACAACATATTAGCAAATTTTCATGAGGGTCATTGAGGGTCTGCTAATAAGGATCTCAGGCAAACAAAGGAATCTGTAATTTGGTGATTTCTAAATTCTGACTGCCAATTTTTGCAATTCAAAATCTGCAAATATTCTTCAATCTTTCAGTTAAAATTTACATGCCCGGATTTAAGAAAAGCTCTTTCAAATGAGACATGTGAATCTGTCCTATTAGCAATGTAAGTAATTTATTTTAAAAAACTATAAAGTTTAGCTATATGTGGTGGTGCACACCTATAATCCCAGCTACTTGGGAGGCTGATGCAGGAAAATCACAAGTTTGAGGCAGCTTGGAGAACTCAACAGACCCTGTCTCAAAATAAAAAATAAGGGCTCAGGGTGTAGCTCAATGGCAGGGTGTTTGCGTAGCGTGCACAAGGCCCTGAGTTGGATTCCCAGTTCCAGGGGAAAAGACAAAACAAAGCAAAAGCCACTTGAGTACAAACATGAGCAAGGCATGGCACTGACTGTTGGTGGAGGAGACAAGGACAACCAAGGGAACACATCATGCTTGTGTACTAGTTGGGGCATGGCTCTATCACTTGCCACCTGAGGACCAGGATAAGTCACCCAGCCTGGTGCTTACTAGCTATGACCTTGGATACATTATTTAAGCCTCTGTGCTCCAGTTCCCTCAACTTTAAGATGGCATCTTACTGGATTGTGAAAATCAAATATGCACCAATATGCATTATGTGCTCAGGAACAATGTCTAGAACACAGCGTGCACTATGGAAATGATGACCGCCATCATCACCACTGCAGAATGTCTCAACTCCAGTTCCCTTGTCACCAGACTGGGATAACAGCAGTATGGATGCCTTAGTTCAACAGGTATTCATTGAGCATTGACTCTGGACAGCCCCTCATGAAACCTAATTTGGGGGGGGGGGCTCTGGGAATTCAATCCAGGGGCACTCTACCACTGAGCTATAACCCCAGCCCTTTCTTTTATTTTTTGAGACAGGGTCTTGCTAAGTTGCCCAGATGGGGCTCAAACATGCCATCCTCCTGCCTCAGTCTCATGGGGTTACAGGCACATACCACTATGCTCAGCCTAATACCTTATTTTTAATATGCTGTTATCAATGGAACTTACACCCTAGAGTAGTTTTGGGGGGTCAAATGAGTGGATGCATGTGAAGCGCTTCATCAGTGCTTGGCACTGAGTAAACACTCTGTAACTGCTACCCATGAAGATGCTGCTGCTGCTGTTAAGGAGGCGGGGGAGAAGATTGCTTTCTGCCCCCAGGGAAAGTATGAGAAAAATGGACTGTAAAGCATGAAATGACACAGAAGACCATACTGCTGAAGTCCATGCAGTTTAATGTGTGGACTTGGAACAGTGAGTCAGCAGCAGGGGATCAGTGAAATCCTCATGAGTATCTGAGATCAGCCACAGGTTTTGCTTTCAGGAAGATGCCAGAGCTGTAGTGACCTCAAGGGTTAGGTAGTTAGTGTCATCATTATTTTCCTGCACCCCACAGGCCAAAGGGAATTGAAAAACTCTCCCGAGAGCCCAAGCCTTCCCTAAATTGACTAAGTTACTAGGGCAATAAAGGCTCCTTTTCATAAGAACCAAACCGAGACATGAGCTAATAGCACAAGAATACTATTTATAAACATAAATCTTAAAATTATTTCTTAGGGAACTATCCTATAGAATCAAAGGGCCACTGTCAGAGAAATAAGAAAATGCTAGTTTTTCTTAAAATATAAAAATAACACTCGAGGAAGTACCGATTCCCTAAGAATGAATACACACATACGTGCATGCATACACACACACACACACACACACATAACATTACATATAATATTCAAGAGGCAGCTGCTTGCAAGGATGCTCAATATTACATATGTAATACACACACACAAGTACATATATCTTTAAGTGCTGTGAAGCAAACCTTTGTGCAAGCTATATATATATGTGTTCTACCAATGAGCTCTATTGCCAATCCAAGAAAATATTTAAAACAATGATTTAAACATATATTTATAACTTACTGTGTGATCAGGCACTTTCATACATTAATTCATTAGGTCCTCATATAATAATCTTTGGTAAAATTATATCCCTATCTCACAGGAGAGAAAATGGAGGTGTTGAAGGTGACACCATGCTTCTGAATTTGAGTAGAGTTCAATTTTCATACCGTACAAATGCTACTTGTTTGTTTTCTAAAAGTTATAGCCTGAATGTTTGTATCACCCACAATTCCTATATTGAACTAAAACCCCAATATAATGGTATTAAAAGGTAGGGTCTTCTGGAATCTCATGAATGGAATTAGTGAAGGTATATATAAAAGGGACTGGAGTCTGTTCTCCCCTTTTGCCATGTGAAGACAGACAGAGGCACCATATATAATGAAGAGGCCCTCATCAGACACTCAATCTCTTGGTATCAGAGACTTCTCTGCCTCTAGAACTGTAAGAAATAAATTTATGGTGTTAAGTTACCTAGCTTAAGATATTTTGGTATAGCAACCAAATGGATTGGATACTTAACTACAGCATTAATTATATACTTTTCAAAATTAGAACACTTCAAATGCAAGGAGAATTAGAACTGACCCCAGAACCCTGCAATTTGGGAACCGATGCCAGGGTGTTAAAAATATGCATGTCATCCATATTCTACCTTTAACCTTCACATTCTGTCACCCTGAAGGATCAACCAAAGGGAGTGTTTGTTCTTCTGCATCCTCTCTCTCCCTGGAAGTTATTCTGTGACTTCTTTTCTCATTCTAAGATGACAGTGGTTTTCCTTTTAATCTTTCTTTTTTTTTTTCCCCTCATACTGGGAATTAAACCCAGGGGTGCTCTACCACTAAGCTACACATCCAGCCCTTTCTTTTGAGACAGGGTCTCTGAAAAGTTGTCCACACTTGCCTTTAACTAGTGATCTTCCTGCCTCAATCCACTAAGTGGCTGGGGTTACAGGTGTGTGCCAGCAGGCCTATCTTCTTTTAATCTGATTTTATCCAGCCCAAAATTCTGAGTCAATGCCAGCAGCTGCTCCCAGATCTTCCAACAAGAAACATACACATACAGGGCAGGAAGTCTGATAGTTTATGAGATGGTAAATTCAGATGATGAGGTCCTGGATGGCAGGTACACAAATGCATAATTTTTCTGTCTCTGCTTTTGTCAAGGAGATTTTGTGATTCATTTAAACTTCAGGTTTCTACTCACCAGTTGACAGGCATGTTTTATCCTCTCCACAATCCCATCAAGTCCCAAGTATTGTAAAGATAACCACAGAGGCAGGGCACGAAGTTTGTCTGCTGGCTTATTTGATGTAAGACCAGCAACTAATGTCTGAAAAAGCCAATATGGGTGCATTAATCCAAGACACTGGAACCTCAGAATTATACAGTTACCATTTACACACACTTACCATGTGACAGATGCTACTACATGCTTTGTTTTCTTTAACCATTTGACCTCCCCACAACTCCACAAGGAATTCATTCCAGGTAGTTTAGTTCACAGTCCTGGCTTTATCCATAGGTTTAGAGGTGAGTGGTGGCAAAGCCAGGAAGAGAATCCAGATGGGTCATATGCCTGAGCCAGAGCTCTCGGCCATTCAAGAGGCAGCCACTTGCAAGGGTGCTCTGAGCATCCTTGAATACCCGGTCATTATCAAATGAGCAAGACATCAACTATTTTAGCAATAATCACTTAACATGTAGTTTGTATATGCCTGCCATTAACCTACTATCAGAAACAACTTCTGATTTTTTAAAAAATATCATGTTCCATCCTACTAGACAATGTGGATCAGAGGCCTTAAAATACTTACAACTCAGTAATTCTACTTCTGGGAACCTATTCTAAGGAACAATTTGAAATACAGAAAGATGTTCATTGTCTCATTATTTCAGTAACAAAAACCTGAAAACATCCAACAAGTTCACAAGATATGATCATGATTAAAAAAACTGTGATACTTGAGTGGCTGATTATTATGCAGTCATAAAATGTCATAAAAAAATTCTTCCTATACATAGGGAAGTATGAGGTGCATAATAGAAAAATCTGTATGATATGGATCACCTGTGTGAAAAAAAAAAGTAAAATCAAGAAAACTTTCACTCTTTTATTCTATATTTTGTCCCTAGTCAGGCACTATGGAGCATGCCTATAATCCCAGCGATTTAGGAGGCTGGGCAGGAGGAGCACAAGTCTGAGGCTAGCCGGACTGGGAATGTATCTCAGCGGTAGCGTGCCCCTGGAATCAATCCCCAGTATTAAAAAGAAACAACCACCATCACCACCACCAACAACAAAAAAACAAGCAGACCAGAGAGAGCCACTTATCTGGATTTTTAGCCTCCAAAATTGTCCCTAAAGCCAATAATGAGTATCAGCCACTCCCCACTCCAGAGAGGACAAGCTCACCAAGGCAGGATCATCATGCTTGTAGAGAGTCACTGCAGGAACAGCTGGCAAACCCAGCCACGGTCCAGGAGTCAGTGTCATGCTATCACATTTGGTTGTAGCCTACCAAGAAGAGGAGGAATTTTCATTAGATTATCAGAACACACTAAACCCAACTCCCTCTTCCATTTAAAAACACTTTGGAAAAAAAAAAAAGCCACCAAGAATTCAAAGATTTTAAGTTCCTTCTTAAAAACATTAATATTTAGTAAATCAAGAACATACCAGCACTGACGAGGAGACATAACCTAGAGCCAATGTTGCCAGATTCACACTGGAAGAAAAAACACCAATCTAAGAACTAATCACGTAATGTTACTGATTCATTAAATATGCACTTTCCAAAAAAGTGAAGGCTTTTTTGCAGGGTGACATGTAAATGTCTTTCAGTTGCCATTAGCTTATATGACAGCAAAGGAACAGGTAGATGATATAAATTCCAAGAAAACCTTGAAAATGCCTCAGGGCATATCCCTGTTTACTGAGTCGGGGCGTAACCATTCTGCATCTTTCACAGCTACTCTTTCTCAGACATTGTTCTTTTGGAGATGAAAAAGAAACCTACCATGGATGATGTGGTGGGCACGATCACCACTCTGGTTGTCCTGCATCTGCTTCCCACTTTTCCCTTAAAGGCACTCCAATGGCCTTCTGAGACACACCCCAATTTCCTCTACCAGAACATGAGCTTTAGGTGGAGACATCGCCTGCTCCTGAAGTGGGCATGTAGCCTAGACTGTGCGAGCACTCCACTTCATGAGGTCTCTGCCCTGCTGGAAGGAAGGCTGCAGTCTGTGCAGTTATCATGCACTATCGTAGGAAAGTCCCTTCACTCAGCCCACACACAGGACACCGAGCCAAGGGACTGTGACTGGGGAAACACAGGTGGGAGGAAGACACTGAATTCTGGTTACAGTATATCTGAAGTCAATCCTAGTACTGGTCTTTTAAATTAAATCTCTTTTGCTTTAGTCAATTTGGGTTATTTTGTTATCTGTAACCAAAAGAACCCTTAATGATGTCACTACAGAGAGGCCTGGATGTCCATGCTTCTTCTTCTTCTTGTTTGTGGTGTTAGGGATGCCCTGGAGGTCTGTGTTCATGAAGACTATGTACAGGCCCAACAAGGAGCCACACAACCTCCTATCCACCTACCCCTCCACGTGAAGCCATATACCATACTGCTCACAGAGCTCTTTCAAACGTCCAATCTTGTCTGTGTGTCCTACTGCTGCAGTTCCTAGAATAAAAGAAATAAACAGGGATATTAGAAAGAACAAATATCTCCTGAGTGTTCAAAGCTAGGAGTTTTTACATACAGTATCTCCTTAAGAGGGAAGAAACTTATTATATCCCTATTTTATTAAGATTTTCTTTGTAGACTGACTTAAAATCAACTTCTACAAGTTGATTTGTAAGCTTATGTGTACTCTCCATTATATGCATCTAACTATATTATTGATTTTCTATCCACTAGACCTAATGATTTATGAGAAATAAGTCAAATCTCCCATAAAGACAGCTATGGGTTTGTCAACGGCTCGACTGTAATGTGTAAGTTTTTTTCTTTATATATTTCAAATTTCTATCCATAAGCATTCAGGACTGATCTTTTAGTAAATTATCATGTCTTTCAGGTATCTGAAGTCTATTTTACCCCACACTAATGCTCTATAGTACTTTTGTCAGCATTTGCCTAAAATATTCCTTGTCATCCTATTGTCATGTTCTGGGTTATTTTGACTCAGGTGTATCCTTTTTTTTTTTTTTTTAACAGCTATATTTATTATTTGTTCTCATTAGTTATGCATGACAGAATGTATTTTGACATGTAATACATTATATATAGAGAATTACATTGGTCATTATATTCATATGTGCACATAGGAGAGTAATGTCTGATTCATTTTCTTTCCTATTCCCATTTCAGGTGTATCCTTTAGAAACAGAAATACACACACACACACACACACACACACGAACTTGGGCTTTTTTCCCCACCCAGGTTCTTTGTTAATATAGAACATACAATCTGACGCCTATTTAAACATTAAACACTTTGAGCCACTCCCTTGGTGATATGATTGCCCTATAGATTTTGTTGGACAGGTTCTTTTTCAGATGGACTTTAAATAAGACATAGAGCCATGTATTTTCCCAGCTGTCCCAAATTTCCAGTTAGTAGAGTTCCAACTAGTAAGATTTCATGCCATGCCAAACAAATCCTACTAAAGAAATGGCTTCCCCCTCAAAGTCTATGCCAGGAAAAGGGGTAAAACCTTTTTCTTTTTCTCATACAAATCTCAAAATTTTAAAAATATCTCAACTGACACACTTAATTTGGTTGAACCAAGGTCACACACCAACACATGACTCTTCCATCACAGTGCAGTGTTAGTGACTGGACCACATTCAGACTCCTTTTCACTTTTTATGGTAGTTGTCTACTGACTAACCCCTGGGATGTGTCTTCTGGTGACTACAATAAGGTCTCAGTGGAAAGTCACTCAGTCAGGTGCCAGTGGCAGTCCCTTCAGTCTATCAAGTGATTGAATATGGGCAGATCTATGTTTGTCTTTATACAATAAATCAGACAGGAAGTGGTGGTTTCCTTCCGCAATAATAGTTAAGTATTTTCTTTTTAAAAAAATAATTACTGAAGCATAATTCACAGGCAATAAAACCCAATCATTTATGTTTTATTCTTCTTGTTTTTGGCTAAGTTGCTTGGGGATTGACCCGGGTCACCCTACCACCCAGCTACATCCCCAGCCCTTTTTTTATTTTTTGTTTTGAGATAGAGCCTAAGTTGCTGAGACTGATCTCAAACTTGTGATCCTCCTGCCTTAGCTCCCTGAGTCACTGGCATAGGCTTGTGCCACATGTCTGACATGTTCAATGAGTGTTTTTTTTCAAGGTTTTATATTTTTTAGTTGTCAATGGATCTTTTATTTATTTATATGTGGTGCTGAGGATTGAAAACAGGGCCTCCCACGTGCCAGGCAAGCACTCTAGCACTGAGTGACGACTCCAGCCCAACGTTCAATGAATTTTGGCCAATGTATCTATAGTGTATAACCATCGTGATCAAGATACAGAACATTTCCATCACCTCTGAAACTCCGTTTCCCACTTCACTTGCTCTTCTCCCCAACTCCTCACTGACCCCAGACAACCCTGATCTGATTCTGTCACTATAATTTTGTCTTTTCTAGAATTTCATATCAGTGGAACCACACACTGTGTACCTTTTTGTGTCTGGCTTTTTATACTTAGCATACTTTTGAAGTTGTTCTGCTTTGTTAGGATATCTAGGTTATTTTGTTTATGAATATCTGCATACAAGTCTATGTGGAGGTATTTCTTTATTTCTCTGAAAGTACATGGAAGTGAGACTGATGGTTTACATGGTAATGTTATGTTTTGCTCTTGAGGCACCGTCCTACTCTTTTCCAGATGGCTACAACATTTTGAACCCCTACCAACAACATATGAGAGCTCTAGTTACTCTGCTCACAAGCATTTGCCACTGTATTTTTAAATTCCCTCCACTCTATCAGAAATAGTAATATCTCATCTTGGGGTATTTTTTGTGGTGCTAAGGATAGAACCCAGGGCCTCACACATCCTAGGCAAGCATAAAAACCACACAGCTACACCCTCAGCCCTGTGATTTAAAAATTGCACTTTTCTAGTGTAATAATGTTAACCATCTTTTCAAGTGCAAGTATTTTCTTTGGTAAGTGTCTATTCAAATCTTTTCATCTTAGGTGATTTCCTCCCTGCTCCCCTCTCCGCAGTGCAGGGGATAGAACCCAGGGACGAGTGCATGCCAGGCACTCTACCACTGAGCTATATCCTCAATCCTCTTTTGTTGGTTGTAAAAACTGTACTGGCTTCTTACTGTTGAGTTGCAGGAGTTCTTTACATATTTTGGATACAAGATATATTTCTCTGAAAAACATTTTATAAATATTTCTCCCATCTATAATTTGCTTTCATTTTCTTAGTAGGATCTTTTGAAGAGTAAAAGCTTTTAATTTTCTTGCCTTCTTTTTAGTGCTGGAATTGAACAAAAGACCTGGTAGATGCTAAGCATGCACTCTGCCACCGAGTTACACCCTAGCCAAGCTCTTAATTTTCAATAAAGTATAATTCATGGTTCTTATTTTATGCCTTAATGATTTTTTTTTCTTTTTTGAGACATTCCCAAGGATACCCCTAAATTTGTGATCCTCCTTCCTCAGTCCCCTGTGTGGCTGGAATTAAAGGCATGAAGCATCATGCCCAGTTCTAAGAAATCTTTGCCTAATCCAAGGTCACAAGACCCTTCCTGTATTTTCTTCTAGAAGTTTTTTTTAGTTAGCTTAGCTTTTATATTTATGTCATTTTTATTTATTTGTTTTATTTTTTAATATTTATTTTTTAGTTTTTGGCGGACACATCTTTGTATGTGGTGCTGAGGATCGAACCCATGCCGCACGCATGCCAGGCGAGCGCGCTATCGCTTGAGCCACATCCCCAGCCCTTATATTTAGACCTATGAACCATTTATAATTAATTTTTATATACAAAGTGAGGTGAAGGTTTGAGGTTCAGTTTTTTCTGCATGGAAATCCAATTTTTCCAAGACCACTGGTAGAAAACACCTTTCTCCTTTGAATTATCTTGGGTCTTTGTTAAAAATGAAGTGACCATGAGTGTATTTCTGAACTCTCCATTCTCTTCAATTAATCTCACATTCTTAATCTCTTATTTGTAGCTGTGTGTGTGTGTGTGTGTGTGTGTGTGTGTGAGAGAGAGAGAGAGAGAGAGAGAGATATGGGAATTGAACCAAGGACCTCAGACATGCCCAGTGTGTCCTCTACCACTGAGCTTCACTCCCAGCCCTTATCTGTAGCTTTATAGGAAGTCTTGAAGTCCGACAGGGTAAATCTTCAAATTGTGTTCTTTTTCAAAATTATTTTGGCTATTCTCAGGTCCTTTAAATTTCCATATACACTTTTAGAATCAGCTAATGTATACCTAACTAAGAAACTGAAAAGAGAAAGAGAGATTTTATTATTATTTTTTAGTACTGGAGATTGAATGCAGGAATGCTTTACCACTGAACTATATCCCCAGTCCTTTTTTAAAATTTTTATTTTGAAGCAGGGTCTTGCTTAGTTGCTGAGGCTGGCCTTGAACTTGTGATCCCTACACCAGCCTCCCCGGTTGCTGGGATTATAATTAGGTGCCACTGCACCTAATAAGAAGCCAAGATTTTGATAGGAATTGAACTGAATCTACAGATTAGTTTGGAAAGAAGGGACTTAACAATATTGAGTCTTCCAATCTATGTGCATGGCATATCAGTTCACTTATTTAGGACTCTTGAATTTCTTTCAGCAATATTCTGTATTTCTTGGTGCTCTGTATATGCTTAGCTAAATTTATCCATAAAGTTTTCATGTTTTCTGATGCTATTACAAATGACTTTTTAAATTTCACTTTCTAGTTGTGCATTGCTAGGAGGCAGAAATCAAAAAACTTTGCTAGGTTCACTAATTAGTTCCAGTAGCTTTAATGTAGTTTCCTTTGGACTTTCTATCAATATAATCATGCCATCTACAAATAAAGACCGTTTTACTTCTTCCCTTCTAATCCATATTTTTAAAAATATTTTTCTTGCCTTACTTCACTATCTAGGACTTGAGGCACAATGTTGAATTCAATACAATAAGTGAAGCAGAAAATGGTAGTTGACCTGTTACCCTCTGAGATGGATATTCAAGAGTGATGTTTAAAAACTTAATTTAGAGAAAGGAAGCACATGAAGGAAATGAAGAAGTGTTGACAACCTAAATGAAAAAAGCATGGGCATGCACATGCGTGGGAAACGCACACATTCCCAAAACAGACCGACAACTGAAAATTAAAAAAAATTTTTTTTTTTTTAAGTTGTTAATGGACACAATACCATTTTTTATTTATTTTTATGTGGTGCTGAGGCTCGAACCCAGTGCCTCACACATGCCCTCTGCCACTGAACCACAACCCCAACAACTGAAAATCTAAGAGCTAAAATTAATATTATAGTTCTCACTGTCATGTGGATACAGATTGTATTATGTAATGGATCTATATTATATAATGTATCATTAACGTATTACATTACAATTATGTAATATAATGTATATTAAACATTTCTTAAGACTTTTCAGGAAAGCATTTAAGGTCCCTCTTGCATATTCATAATTGAAGATGCAGGTTTATGATACCTACCAGCATTTGCAACAAGCAGCAGGGGCAGTCTTCCTCGTTCTATGTCGTCTTTAATCATTTTTTCCAGGAAGGCAACATCCTGGGACCAAATAACAAACCATGAAACAGGATGCAATGAGCATAAAAACTATATAGTGAAAAATTACGACTTCCAAAAGCAGCAGATGACTCTCAAAGTTAATCACTCAAATCTATTTACTCTTGACATTCCTATTTTCCTTAATCAGATATGAAAACCAAAATTTTTCTTGAAGGCTAATAGAAAAATCAGCTAAATGAGATAAAAGGTAAAAACTGTACATATGCAGAATATTTTTCTAGTTTTAAACACTTCAGGAAAATGTTCTCTCAACCCTCCCCAAAGAATCAACAAAATACCTATACTAATACTAAAATTAGTATAAAATTTAAAAAATGAAACTATCTTAAAAAAAGGAATGCAGAACCCTATAATCTGTCGTTTTTCCTCTGGCTTCAGTATAGAGAGGTTTATCATTTGCATGTCTAAAAATAAGCAGAAATCAACCCCAAGATTACAATAAAGAACCTCATTTTCAAAATCTGCCTATTCATAAATCCAGGCAACAGTGGTAATTCGTTAAAAGAATGAGTATCAGAAGGAATTTCTGGTGCTTATTTTGGTTGTTGTATTTCAATTTAAAGTGATAGGGCTGAGTAGAGTTCGTGCTTAGCACGCACAGGCCCTGGGTTTAATGCCCAATATCCCCCCAAAATAGGGGGAAAAACGGGCAGCAGCAACAGGTGATATAGTGATTAATGATTGTAAGATTCCTTAAGAGCTAGATGCTCCTGACCTATATACTGGCCAAACTTCATGCACATATAAACAGAAGCACGTATTATAGAAATACCAAAACAATAAACAAATAAGCTAATAATTATCTGCGGGTCAGCAAACAACTTCAGGTGAAAGAAAGACAAAACTTAACTCCATATTATTTAATAAACCAAAACCAGAACTTACCATCTGATGCTGGGATCCAAACATAGTGTTACAGGGCACACGGCACAAGCAGGGGAAGGGCAGGCCAAGCTACAAGAAGAGATGTATGACTTTAGAACAAAGTTCTCTGTCACTATTCATTTATGATTGTGAAAGATGAAAGGTTGATTTTTCTTTAGAAAAATCTTTCCCCTTAGGAACTCTTAATATGTAAGTAGATATTAAAGTATCTACTTGGAAAGTCAAGCCAAACCCCCAACCAAACAAAACAGTGAATTGCCAGATGTTGTTTAAGAGGATATAATGTAAAATTTTCTAAATTAATTAATAACTGTCTTAGTACATTCTACCATATATCAAAAAACAAACACTTTTCCAAACAAAAGAAATAGTGGGCATTCTGAATGGTAATTTAGGATTCTTTCTCCAAGCATTACTGGTAAATAACACCAGCTAAAGGCATTCAAAGAACAATATCTTATTTGTGGGTCCACCCACACTTAAACAGTAATAAATATGGATCAACAGATCTTTATTTCTTTCTTTTCTTCCTTCTCCCCAAATTTCTTTTCCTTCTCTCTGTTTCTTTCTACCAAGGATTGACGCTTAACCGCTGAGCCACATCCCAAGCCCTTTTTATTTTGAGACAGGGTCTTCTCACTAAGTTGCTTAGGGTCTCACTAAGTTGCTAAGGCAGACTTTGAATTTGTAATCCTCCTGCTTCAGCCTCCTGAATTGCTGGGATTACAGGCATGTACCACTGCTCCTGGCCAAACCTACATTTCTTAAGTGAAGTCAGTGTTAAGAATGGAGACAGGAGGGGGGTGGGCCTGGGGTTCAGCGGTAGACTGCTTGCCTAGCGCGGGTGGAACCCGGAAGCGATCCTCAGCACCACATAAAAATAAAGGCATTGTGTTGTGTCCATCTATACCTAAAAAATAAATATTAAAAAAAAATATGGAGACAATCTCATCAGTTTTTTAAAAAATATTTTTAGTTGTAGATGGACACAATACCTTTATTCTATTTATTTATCTTTATGCAGTGCTAAGGATTGAACCCAGTGCTAGGCAAGCACTCTACCACTGAGCTACAGCCCTAATCAAATTAATTTTATACTCAATTTTTAGTTTCCAAATCCTCAAGTGTTTATAGTTTTAGGAATTGTAAATAGTTGTAGCATATTATTCTGTGTAATTAAGACTTGGCTTAATTAAAGATAAAAAATTTAATGAGTACTTTATTCACATTTTCCTCCTTAATGGATTTTTAAAAGAATTTAAAAGTGAACCAGATGGGTTGGCACACTCCTGTGATCCCTGCAACTCAGGAGGCTGAGGCAGGAGGATCACAAGCTCAAGGCCAGCCTCAGCAGTTTAGCAAGGCCCTAACGCAAGTTAGTGAGACATGTCTCAATATCTCAAAAAATAAAAAGGGCTGGGGATGTGGCTTAGTGGCAAAGAACCCCTGGCTTCAATACCTGGTACCAAAAGAAAAAAATAATTACAAAAGTGATGCCCAAGTAAAACAAAACATCAAAAGAGTACAAGCGAAAAAACTCCCTCATAAGCCACCAATCCACCACTGTTTTTAGCATATAACTTTCCAGACATTTTCTGGGGGATGTGTGTCTGTATTTAGACATACCTATTTTTCTAGGTATAAAACTACCTATATGAGCATGTGCATGTTTTTAAAAGCATGAGCATGGCCATTTCATATACATTCTTCTTCCACTTGCTTGTGTCTCTTAATAGAACACTCTCATAAATCTCATACTTTTGGAGACTGGATTGTTACTAATCTACAAGAACCTGGCTTGCAGTAGGTTCTCAAGTGATTTGTCTAATTTGTCTAGAGGAAGATAGAAACACCCTAAAGAAGAGGACATAATTTCTTGCCATCAGCCATCACAGTTCAGAACCAGCTCTAGTCCCTGAGTTGCCTCTACACATCTCTCAGGGCCCCTTCCCTCATCAACTCTCCAACCCTCTGGGTTTTTCGTTAAACATTCTTGGCTAAGAGGGTTTACAATCTTTTGATCTCAAGGTAGTCCTCCTGATTGGGCTTTAAAAATAGTAATGCTCTTTGAGTAATTCTAGATTGATTCTGAAAACCTATGAGAGGAATATAACACTAAAGTTAGAGCTTTTTTTTAATATATATATTTTTTAGTTGGACACAATATCTTTTATTTATTTTATGTGGTGCTGAGGATCGAACCCAGGGCCTCGAATGTGCTAGTCGAGAGCTCTACCGCTGAGCCACAATCCCAGCCCCGAGACAAAGCTTTTTTAAAAAATATTTATTTTTTAGTTGTAGTTGGACACAATACCTTTATTTTATTTATGTTTATGTGGTGCTGAGGATCAAACCCAGCGCCTCGAACGTGCTAGGCGAGTGCTCTACTGCTGAGCCACACCCCAGCCCCTTAGACAAAGCTTTATATATAAATATGTGCAAAAGATATATAAATATCTACAAAAAGAGTGCTACCTGAAAGTGGTCATAAAAAGAGAATGGAAATGTTCTTTTTGTCCAAAGGGGAAATAGTCAATTAAATTTCTGTACATTCACTTGAAGAACTGCCAAGACATTAAACATGTATGACATACTTCTATTAGAACAGTAAATGAAAAAAGCAAAATACATATGTGTACCATTTGATTAGAGTTTGGGAAGAAATAAGGTAAAACTTTTGACTATAGTTGATTGAGCAATTAAATACATAAATGTATCCATCACACATACTTTCTAAATTCAATAATATATGCTTTGTTTTTTCATTATTAGGAAATAAACACATAAGATCATCTTTCTTTCAACTTGAACACAGCAGCTAATGAAATAAGCCTTCACAATTTAAAAGCTTCAGGACAAACTTTGTGTGGCCGTACACATTGGGTAGTCCCAAGTTTTAGGAGGCAAAGGCAAGAGGATCGCTTGAACCTAGAAGTCGGGGGCCAGCCTGGGCAATATAGCGAATGAAACCATTTTTTTTTTTTTTTTAAAGCTTCATGACAAAACATGGCACTGTTTCTTCAAAACAGCTGCCTTATACCACATTACCTGATTACAAAGATACTGGCCCAGGCCAGGTCTAGCAGCAGCACTGAGATAGACAACAGGTTTTTTGTTATACAACACGTTGAATCCATCCACCACAAAGTCTTCATATCGGGAATGAATGGCAAGTCTACAGATCTTTGCAAGTCCTTCTCTTTCCTCTTCATGGAAATAAGCACAACCATTTTCATACCTATTAAGAGACATCCATATATTAATGTACTTCTATTTCTGATTAATTCTGACTATATATGTTAATCTTATAATCATGGAAGCAATTATTTTCTGAAGTCAGATAATGTCATCTAGGTCAGGCAGAGAGGATAAGAATGTGAAACACTGTAATCTTAGATAGTTGACAACTCACTGTAGCTGAAGACTATACAGGAGAGCAGTAACAACCCTTCATCTGTACTTAAGTCCAGAGAGAGGAGAAACTATGGAAAACAAATAGAAATTTGAAGTCTCCCAGATAGAAAAAGCCTAAAGAGGGGCTGGGGCTGTAGCTCAGTGGTAGAGCACTTGCCTTCCACCTGTGAGGATAGATTACACACACACACACACACACCCTGAAAAACATGGTTCTGGCTTATTCTACAAGGCGGCCAGCTGGTTGTTAGCACAGATTTAGCCCTAAAACATCCAGAATAAATAAAATTGCTAAAAATGTTGGGTAGGCTAACTTTTTCTTTTATTATAATCTGCTTGGGGCTTTTCATTTTCAATATTCTAGAGAAGGAAGAAAAATGTGAATAAAAATATTTCATCCAGATCATTGCTCTTCTATCACTAGGTACAAACTAGGAAAATAAATAACTAGAAATAAATAATTGTTGACACTATCAAACATTTATGTGCTTATGTTCTCAGTTCTTTACATATATTAATCCATTAGCTCATCCTCACAATAATTCCATGACAGCTATTAATGTTATCCACACTTAGCAGACAATGAAGCTGAGGCATGGAGAGAGGAAGCAACCTTTCCAAGAGAGGCCCAGGGTAGAGCTCCAGAAGAAAGCTCATTCACATATGACTCAGAAATAACTTTACAGAAACTAAAAACTCTTAATAATGTCTTTACCTGAAAATTCTGCATAGCCACAAGGTAGTATCTGAAAGTATCCTAGTTGTAAGTTTTCTCAGCTTCTCTTTGTCTAGAGTTGAAATAAAAGCTCCCAGACTATGCCCCAACAAAGCCATGTGACCTTGTTCTCCTATATTCTGGATTCTGTTAATAAAATTAGATTAAACAAGTATTAGAGTCAAAGCACAAAAACAAAATTAGAATTTAGAGAAATCTGTTAGACTTGAAATCCACATAATGTCCTAGAAGGCAGAAGTTCAGAAAAGTCAATGCATGTATGGTACTGCAAGTTTGGAGGGAAAAATATTTTAAAAATGAGTTCTAAGAAATAAATATCCCTCTTTTTATTGAGCAGGTACAAACTGTTTTTGAGTAATTTACTTTTATAGTATTTTAAAAATTAAATATCAACCTTAAGAACTACAGGAGGGGCTAGGGATGTAGCTCAATAATAGAGCTTTTGTCTATTAAGCACAAGGCCCTGGATTCCATCTCCCAAAATCGGGGAAAAGAAGAACTACAGAGGATAGAACTAAGATAAAATGAATGGAAAACATTTTAAAAAGAATTGTTAAAGAACAATTTCTTGCATTAAACAGCTATTGAAAATAGTACAGTAAATCCAAGGGGAACTAGGTTTGTTTTGTTTTACATGTAACTAAAATAGATGGGTTAATTTCCCTTATAAAGAATAAACTAGGGGGTTGTGGTTGTGGCTCAGTGGTAGAGCGCTTGCCTGGCATGTGTGAGGCACTGGGTTTGATCCCCAGCACCACATAAACAAACTTAAAATAAACAAAATAAAGGTATTGTGTCCGGGGCTGGGATTGTGGCTCAGCAGTAGAGCGCTCGCCTCGCACAGGTGGGACCTGGGTTCGATCCTCAGCACCACATGAAAATAAAGGCATTGTGTTGTGTCCATCTACACCTAAAAAATAAATATTAAAAAAAAAAAAAAGGTATTGAGTCCAACTAAAAAGAAAAAGAACAACTAGGGCTGGGGACACAGCTCAGTTGGTATAGTGCTTGCCTCGAATACACAATTATAATTGTTAACTGTAGGGACTGGGGTTGTGGCTCAGCGGTAGAACGCTTGTTTAGCACAAGTGAGGCCTTGGGTTCGATCTCAGCACCACATAAAAAATAAAATAAAGGTATTGTGTCCAACTACAACTAAATTAAAATATTAAAAAGAATATAACTGTTAACTGTAAACATAAGAAAAAGATAAAGAACCAAATAGGATCGTGGACAAAGGGAAATAAAATATGTGTTAAAACATAAAAAGATATTTAACCTGGTTCCTTAAAAAAAAAGTAAATTTAAATTATGCTAAAATATCTCACATCAGATTTCTCTTGTCAAAAACATCACTTAACAAAAGATCCTTAAATGTGACAATATCCTTGTAGGCAGAGGTATGAGAAAAGAAGTATTCTCATACATTGCAGGTAGGACAATGAACTGGCTCAACTCTAAGAAAAAAAAAAAAAAAAACTTTGGCACTACTTATTACAGTTCCTAAAGCACATCTGACCTAGCAGTCCCATTTCTCAGACCCCTCCAAACACTTTAGCCTCTAGAACAAATGACAAATATCCAAAGTTATTGGCTGCAACATTTGTTCCAGTAAAACATGAGGAGGAGACTAGTTAAAGAAAACACTTCATCCAAACTAAAGAGCTCTTAACAAAAAGAAACCTCCTTAATTACGACTCTAGAAGACAAAGCAGAAAAGAGCAAGGCACAGAACAAGTACATGGTCTTTATGTACCAGAAAGGGTGGGCAGGGCCACTCTATAACATAGCTATGGAAGAAGATGTAAGAAACCAGTAATTGTCTCTCTCTAGGGAAGACAACAGGTAGGGAGGCAGAAATATGAAGGAAAACTGTCTTGGCACACTCATTTTTACCTTCTGATTTTTGAATAAGGAGAATGTATTACTTATTACAAAAAAATTAAATAGTGAAAGACAAAGTGAAGCTAAATAGATGAATAAATAAAACAAATGGGCAATATCCAGACAATGTAGACCAATATTTTCAGCTGCAGTAATTCTTAGGAAGAAGAGGGAGAAAAGCACACAGCATTTATTCTTCAGTCCTACTGGTCCCTTTTGTAAGACCCCAAACCATAAAAACTACAGTATCTAATTTTATTAAATGCCTCCTTTTTACAAAATATATTACCCAAGTTTTTTTTTAAAAAGAGAAAATGAACATTATTTGAATGTTACATGTAACTCAATGAAAAATAATTCCTTATTTGAGCCACTTGTCAGACTGTGATCACTACAGAAATCAAGAACACACAGACTTTCAAAGGGAAGCTGCCAATCATTCTCCATTACCGGGTACTCTGGGGCTCCTCATCTTCATCTCCGTGCATCAGATTCTGAACTAACTGGAGGATGCTCACCATATCTTGTCCACTGCAGAATAAAAAGAGCTGATGGGCTGGTGGGAAGAGCACGCACACACACACACACTCTCTCCCAACTATTTCTCTCATTCACACCAGCTTTGATCATTTTTTTTCTTATTGGGAAGCTATAAGAGAAATAATATGCTTTGATATGCAGTTCATAATTTAAAAAAAATAAACCTCAGGTTATAAACTGATTTCCAAATATTACCTTACTTGTGATTAACTCTTTACTTAAATATGAGTTTGATTTTTAAGAATTTGATCAGTCTTGCTCTGGCAATACTGACTGGTTCATCCTCGAGTAGAGATAGAATAGTTAATGAACATGTTAGAAGAGCCAAAAGTCCTTCTAAGATGCTAGGAGGTCACAAAAGCAGCAAGAACACACTAACACAAAGACCCTTGGATTACCTAGTTTTCTTTCATGTAGCAGGCTAGTCCACTTGGATTGGCAGCCTTAACTATGTAATGCACACATCATTTACCACCACCTCTTCCCCAAGTTGGGAAACTTGAGATCTGCTTCAAGTGAGAATAGATTTACTGCCATCTAAGCAATGACAGGAACTGTTCATTACATGAGGGGTGGAAACAATACAAACGGCTGAAGTCATAAGCAATGGCAAGGCAATGTGTGATGCAGAGACATAAAAGTACTATTTCTATTAATTAGAATATGACTGATAAAATTTTTCTCTTTCAAAAAAGCAGCACTGTCAAAACAATGCTTAAAACTCCACCCTCCCCAGGGTGCTCACCCTCTAGTCCTCTGATGGGGAGGGAAACTTGAGGCCCATGGAGGTTAGCCTTGTGACCTTGAGTAACCTATCCCCACTGGACAAGCCCTTTCATTACAGAATAGTGAGGACACAGTTGACAGTGCTGGTAAAGCACATGACACTCTATCTGCCATCTTGCTTGTCTCAAAGACGATGTCATTGTTACCAAGTGTGAATATTCCTGACTCATGGTGTTAATGTGCTGTCATTCTGAGAATTACAGATGTCCTTGGAAGTATCTCCTCTAAGGAAACTTCTGTGGAATCAGGAGAACAGACAAAACTTAAACCTTTTTATTCCCTTTAGGCCTGGAACAAAGAGACTCACTGGATTTGCTTCCTATTCTCCTTCCTGAGTTGTAGAAAGCACTTCATGCCTAGAGATTTTAAAAATCTGCACAACCTATGCTACGGTAGGAGTGCATATTTTAAAATATTAGCATCCGGGTATGTTAAATACGACATTTACTGGCACACTGTGAGCCTTCCTCTATGCTTTTCTTTTGCAATCTTGTACAATTTACATTCAGGTTAAGGAACAATTTAAGGGAGTTGTACTGTTGACCTACCTGGAGTTTCCTGGTTATAAAAAAAAAATAAATAAATTTGTCTCAGGGAAGTTGGGCTGGGACTTTTAATTCTAGACTAACGAGCACCTTTTGAAAACTGAAGTCAGCTACTTATTTTTCTGATTTTTTTCCGCCACTAGTTCAAGCCACAAAGACTTGATAAGAGTTACTTCAGTTGTGAAGAACTAAATCACTCTGCTAATCACTGATTAAAGTTGACCTTTTCTTTTCATTTAGGATATTATAAGAATGACAAATCTTAGCAAATTAAAATATCTCGGGGCTGGGGATGTGGCTCAAGCGGTAGCGCGCTCGCCTGGCATGCGTGCGGCCCGGGTTCGATCCTCAGCACCACATACAAACAAAGATGCTGTGTCCACCGAGAACTAAAACAAAAATAAATAAATATTAAAATTCTCTCTCTCTCCCTGTCTCTCTCTCACTCTCTCTTTAAAAAAAAAAAAAAAAACAATATGCACTTTGTTGTGTAACTGATTTCTATAACTTTAAAAAAATAAAATAAAATATCTCTAAAAATAAAATTCAGTCCACTGAATAGATCAGTTTTTAAGAATGAACTAAGTATGATACTTCAGTTATAATTACTAATTCATGAATGGCTCTGAGTCATGAGGTTGTATTAAGATCTGAAAGAAGCTGGTAAGCTCAGCATTATATCTGACCATCCAATGGCATTTCAGTTTTTTAATGTTATACTGCATATAAATCCCTTTAAATTCTAAGCTGGGCACAGTGGCATACACCTGTAATCCCAGCAGCTCAGGAGGCTGAGGCAAGATGACCACAAGTTCAAAGCCAGCCTCAGTAACTTAGCCTTAAGCAACTCAGCCTTAAGACCCTATCGGTGAGATCCTATCTTCAAATAAAACACAAAAAAGGGCTGGAGATATGGCTCAGTGGTTAAGTGCCCTGGGTTCAACTCTGACACCAAAAAAATCAAACAAATAAGTAAGTAAAATTTTAAAAGGGCTGGAGATGCAGCTCGGTGGTAGAGCACCCCTGGGCTCAATCTCCAGTACTGCAGGACATTTTTTTTTCCCTTTGGGCTCAAACTAAAATTGTAGGACTAATGATTTAGCCCAATGGTAGAGCACTTAGCCTGGAGTTCAATCCCCAGCACCATGAAGGGAAAAAAAAAAAAAAAAAAAACCTAGACACAAACTAAAATTGTCAGTCAAACTGTAATTAAACAATGGAAAATTTGGGTAAGAAACATTTACACCCTATCTAAAAGTACTAAACTTTATTGCCACCTACCTTCCCTGGAGTGGCCCTGGAATATCCTCTGACATGAGCTTCTTCCCATTTTCATCTTCTACTCTTCTACTTTAAAGGAAAGAAAAAAATGTTTTATCATACCAAATTTTTAACATTTGAACATGCAGAATGGCCATTTAACCAGAATTTCTTCATAAATGATGTAGGATTTGAAATATAATTATCACATCTTTCTAGGTCCCAGTTTGGAGTACAGTTTGAGTTTCAGAAAAAGAACATGACCCTCCCACCACCACCAGCAACAAAACATTTCAGAACCCATTTCCTTGTAGTGATGCCCTCTCTGACTTGAATCTACAGTAAGAAGTATTTAGAGACTCAAATCAATGTATCATCACCCTAAAACTCTTAACAGACAAAACTGAAAATTATGCCCTCCCCCGCAAAGTCCTTTAATTACAAAGCAACTTCAACCCAAGACAAATATCAATTTTAAAGTCAGCAGAAGCTATGTGTGGCATTCTGGAGTTAAGAGGTGTTTTAACATAAGGAAACCAAAGCCACCAGAAAACAGGTTGGACACGCCAAGCAGGGTGGCCTCTGTCCTGCACACACTCACCTCTGACTCTCCTCCAGCATCTTCATGGCCTCCTTCAAGTTCCTCCCCATTTCAGCTAATGTAGGGTCTGCTATCTGGGAAACAAACCAACAAGATTAGAGATTAACACTCCTCTATCAGTTCTGTCATAATTCACCCAGAAAAATCAAATGCAAGTCCACTTTCTTCTGGCTTTCTTATAAAATTTTTAAATCTATTATACTGTACAGGTAAACTTCCAATAATACTTATATGGTTCCATGTCAGCATGCTCACTTCATTCTTCTTAGTGGTTATACCTGATTCCATGCTCTGTATGTACCATGGTTGATTTAACTAGTTCCAAATTAATGGACTCCAAGTTATTCCAGTTTTTCACTAAGTCCATAAGAAGTATGTATGGTGTGCTACTTGTTTTATTGCTGTAATAGGCTGAAAATGCTTATCCCTCCCCCGACTTCCCTAAGAGCCTAACCCCTGGGACCTGTAATGTTATTTTATATGGCAGTCTTTGTAGATGTAATTAATAAGGATCTTGAGATGGTGCCCTAAATAAATACAGTCACTCGTATCCCTCTAAAGGAGCAGGCAGAGGGAGACTATTCACAAACAGGGTCATATGAAGACAAGAGAAATCTGAAGATGTTGGCTTTGAAAATTGGAATGATATGGCCATGAGCTGAGGAATACCAGCAAATGTCATAAGCTGGACAGGCAAAGAAAGACCTCTCCCTCTGAGTGCAGCCTGCCCAGTCTTGATCGCAGCCCAGGGACAAGAATTGCAAACTCTTCTTTCTCTTTTGAGATGTGTTCTTGCTATGTTGCCCCAGGCTGACCTCAAACTCCTGTACTCAAGTAATTTTCCTGCTTCTGCCTTCAGGGTAGCTGGGAAACAGACATGCACCACCATGCCTGGCTTCATTTCAGTTGTTTTAAACTGCACAGTTTGTGATAAGTTGTTAGAGCAGCCATAGGAAACTAATAAACCCATAAGTCTAGTCTGCAAGAGCTTCCGTAACAGCATGTTTTTGGAGGAAGCTGCAGCAGTGATGGTATCCAGAGGGTGAATCAAGTTCTCTCTTTTTCCTTTCTTCTCAATCTCCACAGCCTATGCCTTGGATCACTATGTAGTGTGAACTGTGTTATAAAAAGTTGCAGAAACTGTCTTTTTCCTTTCTCACCAAGTGTCTGCTTGAAGGAGGATCTAGATTTCTGTTTCTATTCACATTGCTTATTATACCTGGTAATATCTTCTACAGCACAGGTGTGCAGTAAAGTGTGTGCTCCATTTAGTTTTATATTACCTCTTCATATTTGTTCAAGAAATTCTAATAAGTTTACCAATATAAGAATCAGAAAATGTCAAATTCTGGAAGGGACTTTAGGGGCGATCTTGGGGAGAATGGGTTGGATAAAAAGTTGGGGCATCACAATACTAGACCTTAAATTATACCACAGAGCTAGAATAACAAAAATGGCATGGTATGGGCACCAAAACAGACACGAAGACCAATGGTAGAGAATAGAGACAAACCCACTTAAATGTAGTTATCTCATACTAGACAACAGCACCAATAAACACATGGAAGAAAAGATAGCCTCTTCAACAAATTGAGCTTGGAAAACTGGAAATCAACACGTACTAAAATGAAATCAGACCCCTATTTCTCACCCTGCACAAAACTCAATTCTAAGTGGATCAAGACCGGAGAACCTGCACCTACTAGAAGAAAAAGCAGGCTCAAATCTCCACCATGTTGGCTTAAGAACTGAATTCCTCAACAAAACTTTTAAAGTGCAAGAAGTAAAATCAAGAATCAATTTTCAAACTAAAAAACTTCTTCACAGCAAAGGAAACAATCGAGAACATGAAGAGAGAGAAAATCTCTGGACAGGCAAAGGAAGACCTCTGACATGAATGGGAGAAAATCTCTGCCACCTGCACCTCAGATAGAGGATTAACCTCCAGGATATATAAAGAACTCAAGAAACTTAAAAAGACAAATAGAAATTCAAGAAACAAATAGAAACTCAACAAACCGAAACTTAAAGAGACAAATAACCCAATGAATAAATGGGCAAAGGAACTGAACAGAGATATTTCACAGAAAAAGAAATATGAATGGTCAACAAATATAGGAAAAAATGTTTAACATCAATAGCAATTTGAGAAATGCAAATTAAAACTACAATGAGATTTCATCTCACTCCAGTCAGAATGGCAATTATCAAAAATACAAGCAACAGGGCTGGGGTTGTGGCTCAGCGGTAGAGCACTTGCCTAGCACATTCGAGGCCCTGGGTTTGATCCTCAGCACCACATAAAAATAAATAAAGATACTGTGTCCAACTAAAAAAATAAATATTTTTAAAAAAATACAGCTCAGTTGGTAGAGTGCTTGCCTTGCATGCACAAGGCCCTGGGCTCAATCCCCAGCACCACAAAGAGAAAGAAAAAAAATACAAGTAACAATAAATGTTGGCACATACATTGCTGCTGGACTGGAAAGCAGTACTGAGAGTCCTTAGAAAACTGGGAATGGAACCACTATTTTACCCAGTTATCCCACTCCTTGGCACATATTCAAAGGACTTAAAATCAGTGTACTAGAGTGACATCAATGTTCACAGCAACTCAGTTCACAATGGAACCAATCTTAGGTGCTCTTCAATAGAGGAATGGATAAAGAAAATATGGTACATATACACAATGGAATATTACTCAGCCATAAAGAATGAAATTGTGGCCTTTGCTGGTCAATGGATGGAAATGGAGACTATCATGTTAAGTGAAATAAGCCAGTTTCAAAAAAAAAAAAACCAAAGGCCGAATGTTCTCTCTGATATGTGGATGCTGACTCTCAAAAGGTGGGGGAGAGAGGGAGGAGTGGAGGTTCACTAGGTTGGACAGGTGGGAATGGGGGAAGGGATGGGAATGGGAAAGACAGTAGAATGAATTGGAAATAACTTTCCTCTGTTCAAATATGAATACATGACCAGTGTAACTCCACATCAAGAACCACGAGAATGGGAAGTTATACTCCATGTATGTACAATATAAATACATTCTATTGGCATGTATAACTGAAAACAACAACAAAAGTTGGAGCTTCCAGCTCTCTAACAACCATTAATCTAATCAGCTTTGTTTTATATATAGGGTTCTGAATAAAGTTTCATTTCTAAAAACTCTTAAGAAGAAAAATGTATAACATAAAAATCTCTGATTCTGGCCTAACATTTTAGAGGTTAGAAATTAATACAGAGTGGTGAAGAGATTTATCAGAGGTCATGGAGGTAATAAATGACAGCACAGTGCTAGAGCCCTGAGTCCCTCGGTCCTGACTCCTATTCCCAGCCTCTATTACATCACACTGACTCCACAAGGGCTTACAAAATAATCACAGAGCCACATCTATTCTGATTTTTAAACATATCAGAAAAATAATTTTCAAATAGATTTTTAATAAAATCCACAACTTAAATGTAACCATGAGACAGGTTGGAAAGCAATCAAAAGTATCTCAGTGCTCCGATTATGAAGAGGAGGAACAGACAATGGTCAAGAGAACACATCTTAACTCCTAAGTCTACTGTTACGTTCTCCATTATCCTCCTCTCTTGTGACTCCAATCTGTGTCCCCTACCTTCTGGCCCAATGAAAAGATATGCAGTTTTGCTTGGCTGATCGTTCAGACCTCCATACCTCATGCTTCTAACACTTGCCTCAGCTGAACATCCCTGGGCCTTTTATCTTCCTCTAGCTACCTATTCAATCACAATCCAGTACTGTACTTCCAATAACCCCCCCCCTGTGGGTAGAAGCACTCACTCTTTAACATCTCCTCTAATGATACTGATGAAGTTTTTCTTTAAATCAAATGTGAAACCTCTTTTCCTGACAAAAATGATTATAGTAACAATGGAACAGAACCCTTGAAATTAGGGCATTCTGATATGCAACTGCCATTTATTCTCATGATTCCTTATATCCCTTTACTGTGAATTGTTTTAGGGATGTTCTTTCCAGCACAGATATATTCCCCAAGTAGACCCCGAGGGCTTTTCTTTTTCTCTTTTTCTCTCTCAGTGCTGGGAACTGAACCCAGGGCCTGTGTATGCTAGGCAAGTGCTCCACCACTGTGGTATAGCCCCAGCCCTTTTAATTTAATTTATTATTATTATTATTATTTTTTTTTTTTGTGGTGCTGAGGATTGAACCCAGGGCCTTGTGCATATGAGGCAAGCACTCTACCAACTGAGCTACATCCCTAGTCCTTAATTTTATTTTTTGAGACAAGGTCTTGCTGAGTTGCCCAGGTTGGCCTCAAACTTGCAATCCTCCTGTCTCAGACTCCTGAGCTGCTGGGATTACAGGCCTGTGCCATCACATACCAGCTTAGATCAAGAGCTGCTGCTGCTTCTTTTTTTTTTTTTTTTTTGAGAGAGAGAAGGAGGGAGGTAGGAAGAGAGAGAGAGAGAGAGAGAGAGAGAGAGAGAGAATTTTTTTAATATTTATTTTTGGTGGACACAACAACCCCATTTTTATGTGGTGCTGAGGATCGAACCCAGCGCTTCTTGAAAACAAGGATTCACACTCCCACAAATTTTGACTTCTTTTATAGGACCAAAGGTCCAAAGTTTGCTCTACTCTCAGCAATGGATAGCAACATACTATCTCTTTAACACAGCTAAATTTTCCTATAGAATTTGAACAAATTTTGCAGTTAAGAACAGAAAAAAGATGACATTTAAAAGCCACTGTATATAAACATTTGAATCTATAAACGTTAGAATCACAGGCAATGACAAGATGCTTACACTGAGAAAGGCAAAAGGATCACCTCACTTCTGAGCCCCCTTCATTAGCACACATTCAAACTTCTCCCTCTTACTTGCTTTAGCGGGGTGAGCCAAGGGTAGGAATGGATGGATAGGGAAAGCAGTGTTTATAATTATAATGGAGTAAATTAAATATAAATACAACTCCAAAGCTGTATTCATATTTAATTTACGTGCTTGTTGCATTAACTGGATAACCCAAGGCAACAAAATGTTACCAGTTGGATCATGGTTCTAAGCCAAGAAATGCTCA